GCTGAAAGATTTGAGGCAATATAGGATCACGCAAAAGCGCGATGATACGAGAGCAATGACAGAAGATACAGAGCGGTGAGGCAATACTCACTATCGCTTCATCTTTCTATCGCAACCATCACCATTGCATTACGGTAGCATCGCATCCATTATCATCGCGCTATCGTCTTTGATTTCGCACCATTGTGTCATTGAACTATAGTCAATGCAATAGTGAACTTCGTTAAGCACTAAGCTCGTTTATTAGCCAAACAATTTTTACATTCTTATGCGTCACCCGCGTGGCGCAGTAGTTAGAGCATCTCTTCTAGTCGCAAAGTTAGGAGTTGATCCTTAAGTCGCGGATTTGAATCCTACTGTGGGATGTGGAGGATGGTCCTTCAGATGAGACTGTATAAACCAAGGTCCCGTGCCGTAGTATATACAGATGTAGATGCTGGCAAGAAAAAAAGATTTCTCGCTGCTTAATGGCCCTTAGTGTCGAATTTAGTTCCACCACCAGCTGCATGTGGCGTTCGTGTCTTCCTTGACTGACTTGCTACTCGAGGACATGTTTGATCAAGTACATGTATGAATATTTTTTAAAAGACAAGTTCAAGTGTCCGGGTTTTCAACTTTTTGAAGTCAGCATTTTGTAAACAAGTGGTTATATAGTTCATTGGTCTCCTTTCAAATACATTTAATATTGTTTTTCCAACCAATTATTAGGCCATATTGAATATCACTTTAACTAAGGATATTCTGTTTTCCTAATGAATATAAAGAACTCACAGCGGTTGTGACCGTTTAACAGGGGATGCTTACTTCCCTTTGGCATATGACATCTTGATTCAAGGAGTCTCTATTAACTGCCCTAAAAATGATTCATCTCCAGTTTGTGCATCTGCGCTAAAAAAAAAATCATAGCAATGGAAAAATTAACTAGCAAATGGTGATTCAGAGCCATTCCAAAGCTTCATAAACAAAATTACTTATATCGATGCATTGTGTAATACAAAAAAACACAAAATATTTTTTCCCAAATATTTATTTCATTTCATGGAATTTTCACTTAGTGTTTTGCGAAAGAAACCATCTGAAAAGTTACTATGATGACAAAATAATGAAGCACATGTCAACTATACACGATAATAAAAGCTGCGGAACTAGTCACTAGACATAATGTGTGTTTGGATATAACACAAGAATCTCGCGTATTGCAATAACAAAAGATGGGGCAGTTAAATGCTTAGTCACTGAATCATGTATATAATTCAAGTACAAAAACATCGAAAGCAAATAACCACCTCAATGTTAACAAAATCAACTTGCAAGCTTAATGAAGTGACGATAATGACACACAACATTTTATCATGATGATGATTATACTAGAAACAATATGTACATGTATTTACACTTGTTTTCAAATTTTCAAGTTTTTGTACATCTGTTATGATTATTTACAAATCTGGAAGTGCCAACTTAACAGTTTGATTCTATAAAAATAACCATTGCTTTCTGACTTCATGATACATATACAAGTAATTGCTTTTAATACCCAATTGTTTTCATATATTCATTCATTCTGCAATGGTATTTACAACTTTTTATTTTACAAGATCAGGTAGAAAAACTCAAATTTACAAAAATACTATGAAGAAAAAAATTTAATACAAATTTTACACGTTTATGAAAATATTAACAAATGTTCAAGCTAAATTTATGCAGTCACCTTTTTCATCTCTTAAATGATTTGCAGATATTTTTTCACTCCTTATTACTAAAAAAACAGCACAGTTGTTTAAAATTCAAGACATATTTAGTAATTGAAATCTGCAACCTTCAATAAGGGCAATTCTGACATTACTAAAAATGATATTCTAAGCCTCTCCTACTGTTTTATAATTAGCCCCAATTGATTATCAAAGAGTCACTAAATCCTCCAATTTTTTATTACTGAAGCAAAGCTTGCACTAGCCCTGAATAAATTTTAAATCCATAATTATCAGTTTAAATATGCTTTTTATATTAACAAGTCAGTAGCATTCAAGGATTTTCAAACAATGAACAGTGCAAGATGATAATGGACAGCACTGGGACACCTAAAATGGTGAATAAATTATAAAGAATTGCCAATCCTCAAACAGGAAACAAAATAGATTTACTTTCAAATATGTGCACTTGTATTTCATTAAATCCATCTAATGAATTTTAACCATGTAATATTTATAATATTATTTACAATACTCGAAAGCAAGTTTCTGACTGAAAAGAGAGCCTGTATTTACACTATATTTAATAATTTGCTACTTCCTGAGCTGTTAGGTAGGACTCCATACAATAATGACTAAATGTAAAAGAGACAGAGAAATATGATGATCTGTAGGAACTACAGTAGAATTCTGTATGTGATTTAAATCCCACTGTTTGCTCTGTTTGATAAATATTTATGATTATCACCCCCAAGTTAACTGTACACTGTCCCTGTGAAAACAACATGATGACAAAAAAAAACTTTTTTAAAATTCTCATAGTTGCATGAAAATTAGGTCTCACACTACAAATTATAACTACACAATTATTTGGACCCATATTGATGAGAATATACATTATATACACAAGCAGAAGCAACAGATTATGATCAAAGTACTTATGGTTAGGTGAAATTACAATACAATTATCGTACATGATACTATAAAAATTTGACAAAAAAACTAGGTATTTCTATACAAACATGATACGAAAACAAGTCTTACTACAGCACTAAAATACATGCAAGAAAAAAAAAACAAGTTATTCCACCACAATACCACAGAAAGGCAAAACCAGATTACTGACATACAAGTTCCTAGTCTACTATTTACAACAAATTACAAGTGAAACATTCAGGCACAACGCATACCATATTGATGGAATAAAGTTAATCAAGGCCTCGATTTGCCTTCAACAATGGCAACAGTTTACTTGTCTCCAACTTAACTGCAGACCACAAATACAAGTGCGAAAACTAAACACCGATTCATTTTCATCGATATTCTCCTGCTTATGTAGCATTGAGGAGTAGAAACTACCCTGAAGAATCTTCTTATGAACATAAGTCTATTTATAGTTTCAATGTTTCCCGTATAGGTTTTATTTTATGCTTTCTCTGGACATCCTGATATGCTCTGTGGAGTTGTTATAATAACAATGTTAAATTTCATAACACCACAACTTGTGATGTATTAGCACCAATCAAAGAACTGTCACCAATAGGAGTAACAATTAAACATGACTTCTTTTTTGTACAAATTTACAGGATTTTTTTTTTTTACAGTACACTTTACAATTGCTGTGGTTGGTTTCTGTACATGGTGTGATTTTTTACAATGCACTAGGATATCTGACCAGCATTAGATCCTATCATGTTCAATGATATACTATAAAAGGTACTTACAATGACTAACTCTAAAAGTTGGGGCCACTCTTTGAATTGGCATAACTATTTACAGAAAACCTGTCTACATTTTATGTAGAGAGCACTTAAAAAAAAAAAAAATCTCAAGGGCCATATATCACCCACTGGGCACTTTCAGAAAAATGTGTCATAATGGATTTTTTTTCGTCATAGGAGCTATACATCCTGACTTATTGTTAGTAATAAATGGCTCAATTTAAGAATGCTAATAAAACGTTCACCTTAGGACTCAGCTTTTGTCACTTATTCAGCTGTATTTAATTAATTGCTGTAGTATTGTGAGCTCTTAATAGTTGTTGTCCATACAAGTGTTTCTCAACAAAAAATACTGACAGTTTGTGAAAGGTATAACCAAAATAGAGAGACATATTTACATGTTTATCCTCTACTTAATCCTGCTACAAAATTAAGAGTGGAGATAAAAATAATACTTTTTCATAACTTCAATGCCAGATCAAACAAATGAAGCAATAAAAATTTACAAGAAAAATATATAGTATGTATTTAACTTCAGTACAAAAAATACATTTCAGTCTGCAACTGAAAAAACAAACTAAAGTGCACAAAAAAATTCACAGTTTTATCGTTGAATGATGCAATATGCCTATTAACATGGTACGATATTCCTCTATGATTCAAAACAACCAAGTGCTGTATAAATAAATTGATAAAAAATGATGCAGATATATAACAATATTAAGTTCATATTTGCAGTAACATTAGGTTATACTACAAATCACTGACAATTATCCAAGAAAACATGGTTTGTATGACTTCTTCCTAACAGACAGTGCATACTGCTCCAGAACAATGCCTTATCTATTGCAAATAACAAATACCTTCATTCTGGGCTGCTTTTGAAACAATTTTTTGTTATACTGCTAAAATTATCTTATTCATGTAATTTTTTCCTAAGAGAAAACAATTTAAAACGTAGACATCAAGGTAACAGCATCACCAATCCTATTAACTTTTAAAAAGTTTCGAAAAAATTGTCTGATATCAAAACCTTGCCTTGTACTGTTCCAAAAAAAATTTCTGATAAATTTCTTTTTAAAAAAATTGCTTCTCCGTAAAGATTTTAGCCTATATTGTTAGTGTGTGACTGTGTTACACCGGTATCTATAGCCACAGTAGAGAAAATGTTTACAATTTTAAACTAAAACAGTTGTTACATTTTGATCCTTATACCCTTGCCTTTTTTTGGCAATTTAAGGATAAATAACACAAACAAACTTTTTTCAGAACTCAGCATTATTTCTCATATATTTACATTTAAATTGACAACCTGAATAATATTTACCAAGTAGAGTGGGAGAATTTTAAAAGATTTTGTCATAAAGTTAAAAAATTGTGCAAAAATTTGTATGGAATTATATAGAAGGCAAAATAAAATCTGAAATCTAAGCACCAAGGAAAACCTACGATTTCTTTATATTTCAGGGATTTATTATTTATATCAATACAAATTAAAATCAGTCAAAAAATGTATATCAACCCGCGCATCCATTTTTTGTTTGTGGTAAGTACCCTTAATTATCAGAAATCTTTAATCCCCCTTTCCCTTTTTTTCCCATTTTTGTCCTTGAGGTAGAAACTAGATTTTGTTGGATTACTCATTCTCAGTGTTGTGAAAAGCTTTAGAAAAGTGGATACTTGATAAATGAATATGAAAGCCATTAGGTTTCTTACTCTATAAATGGTCCTTTCTGTTTTTATGACAAAATGATAATTGTATGGCTCAATAATTTTGTCCATCCCTTCCCAAATCTTTGAAATAAAGCTCAAAGAGTGTGCATAATGAACTAATCAAAACTAAAATATTTTTAGTGTTTTGAATGTTTGGTGTTTTTGACACAACAAATCCTATATGTTCAATCTTTAATCAAACCTTAAATATTGCTTAAGTTTGTTGTTTTTTTAATTGAACTTGATTATGTTTATATCAAAACTATGCGTGCCTTGATAGAAAAAAATACCCTTCCTTGCAAGGACATATGTACCAAATCCTCTCTGTATGCATCAGCAATTTTTCACATTGCCTTAGTTCAAAAATTTCCAAGAATAACATTTCATTTTTATCAACCTTTTTACATCATTTAAAAGACTCAGCCTTAATAAATTTCAGGAGACACTCTAACATCAGTCAGGCAGTTGACATTTTATGGTAGAGCTCCATTGGGTGGCATGCCTATTGGGCCCAGGTCTGAGTTGTTTTTCATGAAGAACTTTTCCAGTTTTGCAAGGATATGTTTGCCATATGTATACTTTCTCAGAGTTGCAATGTGGGGTCGGATTTTGTGCATCAGAATGTTGCGTTGCTTTGGCTCTGCCACGTCAATCATTTTCTGTACAACATAGTTTGCAAACTGGTCCTTCATCATGATGTAAAGTGCATTTTGTGGCCTGAAACAGAAACACCTTAAGTAGAATCAAATATTATGAATATTTTCAGTTTCTGAGCTGACACAGCAGGATTCCCATAAGATAAGAATATAATGAACATTCTTCTATCATTTTACAAATATTTTTAAATTAATGCAAGCTCATGTATTTTTTATAGCTGATATTTACATTCCATGACTGCTTTCTTTATGCAACTGAAATTACTTTTGCAACAGAATTTGCAAATGTGAGTGATACAGACATATCAGAATTAGAAATCTATGTTTGATCATTTTTTTCTTCAGTAGACAAATGAATGTTTTCTAAAAGCGTACTAAAAACGATAGTATCTTTTTTCTAGTTTGTGCACAGATCATAACATTTGTCCTTACAATGAATGGATATTTGATAAATATAAAAATGGCATACATCAGCATTCCAGACCTACCCATCAGTTAGAGAACAAACTTCCTCTATCAGCATTGCTTTCTCTGGTCTGGAGGAATAGGACACACATTTCTCCACAACATTACTACAAAACATTTGTAATCTCACATGTTAATGACATATCAATGCATGTTTTCACTTTCAAAAAAATTATAAAAGCATATTGTTAACTTAAAGTGAACAATCCCATAGGCCTATAGGGTGGAAATACTGTGAAAAATATCATTTATCATTTCAAGACATAAATTTGTGCTTTCCTGCATGTTGTTCTTTCCTGCATGTTGTAAATTACCATAAAGGCACAAAGAATTTCAATTTAGGATTAATTTTGCTACATGTATGGAAAATTATCTATGTATATTTGTATATTTTCAAGAACATATGGTGTTATAAAGAACAATCATGAAGCCTTCCTTATTTCTTTGCAATATTTTTTTGAAGGGGGGGGGGGGGTTAAGTTGTACCTTGCAAATTTGTGCTGACTGAGAACCAGGACTTTGCCCCGTAGTTCTGACACAATTTTACTCTTGTCATCGTGGGATCCATGTTCCAACACATGCTGCACAACATAGTTTCCGTACTGATCCTGCACCAGTCTCTCTATAGCTTGATGAAGCTCATCCAGTATTGGAGTTGTCTGCTCTTTAGTGCAATGTTCCAAAATTCTCTGAATGACTCGACAACCATAAGGATGAGTAGATAATGAAAGAACCTGAAATATAACATTAACTGTAAGTAAATACTTGAATATACGATGCATGAGATTACAAAAAAATTCCTTTGGATACATAAAAAGCTTACTAAACATCAAATGAAATCCAATACAGTGGTTATAATTACAGTGAAATATCAGTATCTCGAAGTTGAGGGGACCTGGACATGACTTCGAGATATCCGGGGGTTCGAGATATCCGAAGTTATCTTCCAAAGTCGAATCAACGATGTCCCGTTTTTTCGTATATCTTCATGCGTAACACTATCCTGTATTACAAAACATGCAGTCTTTATGGTAAAGTCTCAGGCATATTCGCAATAAATAGTAAGAAAAACAATGCTGTTGTTTTCTTTATCGTGTATAATTGTAAAACAATTTAATATGCATGCCTTATTGCATATTCAGCTAATTTACATTTTCCAGGCCATGCTTACATGCTCAAACGGGATGTATCATTAGCGTTATAGTTGAAGAACCTTCTCCGTAAGAAAAGAAAAAGACGAATTTTTTAAAGACATAATTTGATGAAATTTAGTGCAAAATGTTTTTTTTTTAAAAAATAATCAGTATTCAAACTGTGTACTTGATATTAATAGCGTACATGTATAACATTACGAAGTACTACTAAGGAACACATACTTCACGAAACTAACAATGCAAATGGCGGTCAAGGTTATCTATTTATACGCAGATAAACATGAATGTAATCAATCGCCGTGCATTATGCACTGCAACTCATCTGTTTAAGTTTATTGTGAAATATATTTTTGTTTTATGAATTTAAGAATTTAATTATACAGAGCATATCATTAAATGCAATATCGGTAATTTAATTTCTGAGTTGCTAGCTGTGAAGTGGTTTGTTTTATCGGTCGTAGACTACACCAAACACCCAAGCTGTCAAACCAATTAACCTGTCACAGATACCCAGACATCAACATGAGCTTGGGATTAATTAAGATTCCCCAAGTTTGAAGGTGTTAATTAATAGCCACTGGCGAGAGTGTGTGAAGTCACGACACCAGGTGTGTTTAGTAGACCGAAAAATTCACAGCACTTCGAGATATGCCAGGTAAAAATTGGGCTTGGAACTTTGAATATACTTCGACATAAGCGGGGTATTCGAGGTTACCGTGTTCCAGATATCAGGTGTTTTTTAAATCATATATAGAGAGAAAACGGCCGGGACCGGCGTTTGACTTCGACATAAGCGGGGTATTCGAGATATCCCATGTTCGAGATACTCATATTTACCTGTATGTTCATAAAAGGTAAGGTTTGACATGCAATCCACATTTGTGACTTTTAAAACTATGTACATCATGTTAAGCTTTATTTTGTCCAAACATAATTCTGTGTTAATTGCTAATGTTTGTAAATAAACATCAGGAATTGAAGCTTGTTATTTATCTACTGACTCTTGTACAAAAATGTGATCCCCTATTGCAACTAACCTGCAGACGTGTAGCTTTCCCTGTGAGAAATTCTTGTATGTTATCTCCATCTTTCATTTTAAAAACCAAAAGAGTTAAAACAACTAAGGAATTCATTACCTACCTGACCTTTGAAAGCATCAATAATGAACTGTAAATGAATGGGATCCACACATTCTATGCATTTCTGCACCACATGGTTGCCGTTCTGATCCTTAACACACTTGATCACATGGCCATCAAGTTCTTTCACAATTTCCACTTGCAGATCTGTTGAAATTGTTTCTAAGGCCTTCTGAATAACACGACAGCCATACATCTGCAGGGCAAGTGGCAAAACATGACCCCTAAGGCGCTGAGCCAAGGTTTGCTTCTGCTCGTTACTGCCAAACTCGAAAAATTTCTGGATGACATAGTTGCCGAACACATCCGTCATCAGACTGTAAGCATGTACCAGGATTTCATTGAAGACCATGTTCTTCTCCTGTGGGGAAGCTCGCTCCAACTTCTGCTGAATAAATCTGTAAAAAGATATTATTTGGAGTAGTTATTATAACTGCATGAATGTTCAAGCAAGTTAATAAAACATCAACATTAAGTGAAGAAACTTTCAGAGAAAAGATTAACAATTAGCTCGAACTACTATAGCACTTGTACTAATTCTTTGGTATATTTTTCACATGCTGAGGACATAGGTTTTACAACTAAAATGCTGAAATCGATAAATATCCTGTTAAGAGCAGTTGTTATGATATGTGTATATTTTATATCAATATGTCAAATGAGAGCCGATATGAATAAAGTGATAAAGCATTAGAAATTGAAGACATTTTCATTTATATAAAAAATGATGGAAGGCAGCAAGGAAGAACTAGTTTATAAGCTATCAGGTGTGCAGAAGTTATAGATCTTCATGGCCCCTATTTTGCAAGACCAATAAAAATGTCCATTTTTTTGCAAAAGATACAACTCAAAGCCTGACTGGTGAGTTCTCTTAAACCTAAAGTCATTGTAATTTAAATTAACACATACAACAGACACACTACAGCACTATACAGCATACCTAGAACCATGCTGGTCCTGGGAGAATTCCACCACATGGTTATTGAGGTCCTTCAGCTGTAAGTTGGGAATTCTGTTGTTCCTAAAATCCTCCAGCATCCGACTTCTTCCAGTGGCTTCTTTTGACATGGAACTGGCAAAAACAAAAAAAAATTTTCATAAAGGTTATTCCAGCCAAAAATATTAGTTGGGTGGTCGAAATGAAGATTACATTTCACAAGCAGTAACCCATATGTTAGATGAAAGTGTATTTCTATCTTGTGTAATTTATCTTCAGCAAACACCCCAACGGAGCCATAGCAAAGCAATCATTTGATTGAGCATTTAAAGATGCACCACTTATCAATTGATGATTGCACCAATACTTGAAAGTCATATTCTTGCATGCAAGTGTTCACTAGCAAATCATTTGAAATAATCCAGCATACAGACTATTGAAACTATATCTAACTTTGAATACTGTAAAACGAGAATATTTAGTGCACTACTAATTTTAGCGCCTTTGGCGCAAGAGCCCTGAGTGCTAGAATTTATTGTGCGCTAAAGGATTTCTAAATATCATTTTTTGTGTGTGTTCAAAGCTTTTACATAAGTACATGTAAACTGGAACGCGCGATTACGTAATGTCAAGGGTCACTGGATTTTATATACACACTAGCACTGCATGCACATGTTCAGAAGACAGAAAGTTCTGCCAAATTATAATTTAATTAAACTATTGTTATCCCAGTAGTTGTTACCTGATTATTGTCATTAGCACCTTCAAAGTTTGACTTCTCGGCATGTCAATCATCTATCGCCTCGAGGTAAACAATGCAATCAAGCATGACAATTGAACTTGCAGACAATACCTGATTAAGATTACCGTTTTATCGAAGTAATTTTTTGTCGATCCACACATCGTTTTAATATGATTTAAATGAGTAAATACTCCATTTCTTTTAATTGAAAATAGAAATAAAGTAAATTTTAACACTGTGCCACGTTCATGTGATAGCAACACGTACCGCGGTAAAGTCAACGAATGTTTACTGACAAAAACTAACCAAAAAGTCAAATACAGGCGTGGATAAAAAAAACAACAAAACATCACATTTATATATTTTACTGACAAGTGCAGGCCCTAAAATTTATTTGCGCCAATGCATTCCCACTTGCGTTTGCACTAAAATACATATGCGCCAAATTTTCTCGTTTTACAGTAATTCCCCACAACTTTTTGCCAGAAGGTGACACTTGATTTTGGCATCAACATTAATGAGGCCCCACTGTACATCTGCAGTATAGTGCATGTGGGGCTTCAACATCCAAATACATGCATTCTTAACCTTCCTGGAAATACTTTAAACTTGTCTGATTTTTGAAATGAATTCTGAAAACAACTTACTTCCTTGCAGCCATATTTCTGCTTGGAAAGAGAGAAGTGCCAGAAAAGAATCCATTAGATCCCATGGGGCTGTTTCTAAATTTAGCCTCTGCTCCAGGTGCAGCACTGTACATTCTATTCCCTCCTGACATTCCAGCTGTAAATACAAGTACATAGAAAAATATCATTGAGAAAGCCTAATCAAAAGTATATAAGCATGATCAAAATGATTGTTTGAAGGTATTTTAGGTTTTCTGGGGGGGATGAACTGAACAAGATGCAACAAATTACTGAACACCTTTCTTAATGATTGTGTGATACATTTGCATTAAAATATTCAGTTTGAAAGAAATCAAAAGAATCTTGATAAAACTTATTTGTCCTACTGACAGATGGTAGAAGGGACAATGGGAATATTTAGGGTCTGGTAATTTGAGAGGGCAGGATGGAGGGGATTAAAATTCATGCAGTAGGACACGAAATATAGACTTATATGTACATGTATATTTTGTTTGTTTACAGATTTTAATAGCAGTAATTTAAAACAAACATTCAAGTGTACTGAACACTGATCTCTCACCTACTGACAGATTGGAGGAGGATCCAGAAAGGGAGGGTGGTGGAGTCATACTCTGTCCTGGTTGTACCAGTCCCATAGGGCCAGCAGGAGAGGCCGACATGTTTCCCATGGAGCCATAAAACTGATTCAAGGGTGGTAAATGCTGTCGTGTTTTGTAATCTAAAGAATCCCGTCTTTGACCTTAACAAACAAAAGCAAATCAACTATATGCTTAATGTGTCCAGAAAATAAATATTTCAAAGAACACATACATGTATAATGCCTATTAATAGTGATAAATCCTCACTTCCTCTTTTAAAAATGGTCAGTTACAATAGGAAATAAATTGACCTTATAAGTTAAATTAACAATACACACACCTCTTAAAAAAATTTACACAGCAGTACAGAACAGATATGATTAGTATAACAGCATTGCACATGCCTTTGATTCGAAACAAACAAAGAGACAAACAGAAGCTCGAGGAGATTTTGAACAGAAAAAATTTTGGTGAGCAAAAGAGATGCCAAGAGCACGTTAACTTGTGTGTCCTACCCATGTTGTTAAGACTGGAGTTGCTGTTACTGGAGAAGTTAACAGGAGGAGTTGTCTGTAACTGCTGTGACTGGGTAGTCAGAAGACGAAGAGGATTGTTTGCCCCACCTGTAGGAAAACAATTTGTTGTTTATCAAGATTTTGTTACTTTATCTAGTTTTAAAGATCCTAAATTCCAAGGATTGGTTAATCAAAGTTAACTTATACAACAAAGATTTCAAAGATGTTTTCAAGTTAGAATGAATAAAAAATTGAAAATTTAAGTTCATTTAGTAATTTTACTTGGCAAAATTGTCATGCATGAACATATATTTCTCATCTTCAGTTGAAACCCATATTAAGGAAGAGAAAAGTGGGAGGGGAAAGTGATAAAGATGAGTGACCTTACCTTGTTGACTTGCTGCCGCAGTGGCTGCACTGACTAGTACTGGGGCAGGGGAGACAAGTCGTACAGGGGTACTCAGTCCTCGAGGGTTCATTATCAGCTGGCCATTCTGGTCGTAATAGGCTGGAGCTAAAATCTGATACTGTGGATCTGTAACAAACAATGTTTAATATTATGACATTTTTAAATAGGTCCTCAGGGCAGCAATGCTCACATGGGTTTTGAATCAATTAAAAAAAAACAACTTTTTTCTCTTCATCGAAATGCTCATTCTTGCCTTCAAGACATTCTGTGAACAATTTTAAATACATACACAGTAGACAAGATTCACTCTTTACGAGTTGTTTAAGCAGCATACCATGACTTGGATATTATGTCGATAATGTTTATAACCAATAAGACAACATATAAAATACAAAATTTAACCTGCTTAGCTCTAGTTTCAATAAGACTCACTCCGATTACTATTATAAATATCTTACTAGAGGGGGTCCCCATCTGCTGATTTATATTGGGCTGCTGTGATGGCATGTTAGCTTCGTTCTGATTGGGTGTCAGCCGCCCGTTCTGCCCCCTCATTAGGTGGGGCTGCTGTGGCTGCTGCTGTTGGGCCTGTGATGTGGGCTGCGGAGTTGTCTGCCCTTGCTGCTGGATTAAGTTTGCTGGATAGATGCCCCAAGGAGCCTGAACACCATAGTACTGAGGATGAATAACTGCTGGTCCTAAAAGAATACCATATTGAATCTATAATATGTAAGGAATATGTAACTTAAGATTTTACCAAGTTTTTTTTTTCCTAATCCAGCAGATGTATAAAAGTTTACCAAATAGTGAAATATTACTTATGATCTCCCGTTAGTAACGCAACCCTTCATTTAATTAACCTACTGTCATTCAATCAGCTTTTGCAATAGAGGTATTTTTACTTTTATTGAAACTGAAGCATAGAAATTTTATGCCAGGCGCATGTTTAAATTGTAAAAGTTGTAATAATGAAGAGATGAAAGTTTGACCATTTCAGCATATTATAAAAATAGCCTGGGGATCTACTAGAATTTAACAGTGCTCTTAATAGGAAAATGAAAGATGGGGATAGGAGACTTTGACAATTAATGAATTAGGCCTAGAAAAAAAATATGTTTGTTTCCGCTTTCCCGACCGACCCTAATTTATAGTGCCGACCCTAAAAATTTTTTTAATGCTTTTGTCCCATGCAGGGTTTCAGATTGGCGTTGGCCATCGGCCATTTGCCGATAAAAATTAAAAATGGCAGGAAAAAAATAAAATTTACCTGCCAAAATGGCCTATAGGTTTAACATTGAACGGACATAATGGCCGATTAACTTCTGTATGTAAAGGCAAGTCGTATAGATAGTTTTCCCCCGTTCAGATCTGAGTACATGTATTTTTTTTACTACTTTATCAATATGCAACTGCAGATTTCATCAGCCAATGACAATTGGGTGTAAGATCTTGACAAAAAATACTTTCATTTCATTTCAAAATTCAAGTGCAAAGAGCCAAAAAGTAGTGATGAATGTTTAAAACATCGAAGGAATCCATGCCATGTTGATATTTTTACCGCCATGATTGAATGTGGGGTCAGACTAATAACAGGAAATGGACAATATTGCAAGGTTTTTTATACAAAGGAAAACATTTTTAGTCTAGGCAATCTGTAAACGTTATCATACTTGTAATCAGAAATACAAATCTCATTTCTGGATATTAAACTACTTTTAAAACTTGAAATCCCAAGAAATAAATACATCTACATGTAATGAAAGGTGGGACTAATATCAGTAAAATACCCATTGAATGGAATTTTAAAAAAAAATAAATCCCCCTTCTGTTTCAATATATTGATTTTGTTTAAAGTAAACAAACTATTATTTTCCATTTTATTAAAAGGAAAATTCATATATACTTTTGATTATTTTAAGTAATTAAATGAATTTTTTTTTGTAAAAGTCTGACACAAATGTGAGTAAGTTTAACTTTTCTATATTTATTTCATTTCTGATAAAAAATTTCAATTATAATTAATTAAGCCCAGCCGATTATTAATGATAATCGATTCTAATTTTTTTAAAATTTCCCTTGACTTTCATGCAATGAGAGTCCAGTGAAAAGATGACTTGTAAATGTTTAAAAAAAATGAAATGAAAACGATTGAGTTACACAGTATATTTTACTTCTTAAGGTAGGATTCTTCTCTGGTTTCTGACAAGATGAAACATTCAAAGTATATTTGCTTATATGTCTTATATATTGAAGTGTAAGGAATTTAAAAGACCATATTTTTCTTTCCTCATCACAATTGTACAACTTTAAATAGAAATGGTAAACTGCGTTTGAAAACTAGCAGGGACTATATTTTTGGCGGAATGATGGCGTATGAAAATATCTTCTTTTCGGCCTCTCAAGATTATAATAGAACAATGAATTTAGTTATAATTTTTACACAATCGAAGACTTGGAGAAATTTCTAAATGCAAGTTAGATTAATAATGAGGGACTAAACTTTTAAAATATATCAAATAAATATGATTTTTCAAACAAACTGGAACTTTATTCGCTTTTAAACGCTTCCTATCAAAGTGCAGATTTGAGCCAAAAATACATAAAAAGTATTTTTTCTCTCTTAGTAAATGATGAAAACTTATAGTTTTTGTATTATTTTGTACATTTATAAGACTACTTTATTATTTGTGAAAATAAGAAAAAGTTAAATATAAGAAGCATATGAAAATAACTAATATATCCTAAAAAATTACGAAAAACAGAGAAAATTCGGATTAGCCAATATACAGTTTAGTTAAATTATCTACGCAAATTTGGTAATATCATGCTATAGATCCAATATAGTAATATGTTTTTATGCAAAAAGAACAATCATTAAACTTTTGAAATAGAAGTAGGTATCACATGATTGGCAACAGTTATTTTTTACTCTTAATGTCAAGGAAAAGGATTATGACCTTGACCTGACCTTGCCTCTGATATAAAACGGTCAAATTTAATTTCACTGATACTATCACTTACTGATATTGTCTTCTTGATTCTGTGACAATTTCATTAATTTTTAAATATTAGAAATGTGAGAAGAATCCTACCTTAAGTTATTTACCTGAATTTATTTAAGTATACTATGAAAGAATTCTCAAAAGAATTGTATACTTTCAACTATCACTCAGCTAGATAGAATGTTTTATAATTTATTGTTAACACTGGTTAAAATGATAAATGTCCAACGGACCCGACACTTCTAATGGGCCTATAATTTTAGGATGTTTAGAACAGAATGGCCTTTAACTTTTCTGGTAAATACTCGTATGCCATATGTCCTATAGTTACTCATTTCAATCTGAAACCCTGCCCATGAAGTGCAAGATTTCACCCAGGGAATTATAGTCTCCAACTTTGCAAGCTTTTCAAGACATAAAGAAGTTTGAGTCACCTTTCTATTGTAAGTTTAAGTCATAGAAATGCTTGAAAACACCATTTCTTTTGTCATTAATGTTACTTCTATACACGTTTTGATTAAAGAAGTAAAAAAAAAAAAATTTCAAAAAAAAAAAAATTTGCCTACCTACCTACCCTATATTTTTTCAGCCTGAAAGCGGAAACAAACATATTTTTTTTCTAGGCCTTATTACAAACTGACTATTTCTTCCATACTTATCATCAAAGTTTCCTTTTTTACAAAAGCTATACTTAATGCAAAAAGTTTGCAATAATTTAATGCAAATTTCCCTAAATAATCACTTCACATTTAAACAATTCTGATAATACGAAAGAGACAGCAAGAAATCTAAAAATAGCAAGGGCCTATGAGCCACAGTGCTCACCAGTCATTTAACACTGCCTTTGAGACAGGTCTAAACTTCAAATAGGAAGTTTTTAAAATCAATCCAACCCTATTTTACCACTTATTTTACATCCCCTTTGTGTTGGGGTCAGCTCTTTACTTTACAGAATGTTTTGTGTCTAAGTTTGGTTACAACTTGCCTAAGAAGGAATACAAAGTATGACAAGAGACTTTTAATTCCAAAATACAAGCAACTTGGTCTTATCCTTGGGCTTGATCCCTGGACCCATAAAGCACTTATATAATTATTTTTGAAGAGGGGGCTAATTTGCTTCTTATAATCATGCAAACAACCCCCCTCCTAGATGTCCATTAGTAAATCAAAAATGTTCAAAGATGTGCTTGTTAGACCCATTTGGACCATTTTAACTGCTGCAGTGAAACGTTTGCAGACGACATATAAAAGCTATTGAATAACTTTGATCAGAAAAACTCACGTGAGCCAGAGCAAAATGTTTCCCTTGCCAAATTTGAAAAAGTTTGTTTGGCAACAAGCCTAATGCTGACCTGCTATAGGAATGCCCACAGCATAAGGATCCTGGCTGATAACATAAGGGGTCGGCGTAATGGCCGCCGCAGTCATCCCTAAATACATAAAATCACTTAAGCCATGCAAATAATGACCACAATATCAGGATAATAATATAAATCCTGATCAAAATCAGGAGGAGAAATAGAGATAAATGTGCATATTACAAAAGTTGATTTCATTTATTTAAAAAAATAAAAAGCATCCAAAACCATAGTAATCTTATCAAATTGTTGAAGCCTGATTTTGTGAAGAAGAAAAAAATAAGCATTGCTTCCATAGTCTTGAATTGATTTTGTCATCAATGTCCTTTAAAGCTTTCTATAACTTCTACTGGTTTGAAAACATACCAATCATGCAATACAAAAAAAAAATCAAAGGATCACTGGTTTTGTCTCTAGTTTAAACACTCGACACAGAAAGCATTCTGTCAAACCTAAGACTGCACGAAGCAGCTAAGAGCAATCATTTGTTTGCTTATTTCGGAAAAAACAATTTAACCACCATATTCACGAATTTAAATATGATTTAAATAAATTAAGTAAATAAAGCCTTGTAAAATATGTGTTTCTGCTTTCTAGACCAGTCCTAATTAATAGCATTGACACAATTTTTTAAAAAAATGCATTTCAGTGAAATTCGAACTGTCAATTTTTCTTTCACATATTAAAATTTCTTCAACTCACAGAACTCTGAAACAGTATATCCTTTGTCATTAGTAGTATGTAGATGTTTTGTTTGAAGAAGTCGAGGTATTATTTTTTTAAGATGCTTACCTACCTACCAAATTTTCATGTATACATGTATGTGAATATACATGAAATAGTCCTTATATAAAACTTCTCTTTCACACTATTTATATGTATGTACAGTAAAACTTGTTTAGTACGAACACAGATATAACGAATTACAGATATAGAAAATTAATTTCATAGGTCCCAGCGACTGCGTTCTAACCAGGTTTTACTGTAATACCGTAAATCTGGAAATTTTTGCTGTAGATAAATTTTTAGCAAATTTGCAAGTTCATTGCATTCGCAAAAATATTTTTCTTAAAAATAAATTACCAATAAGAAAATGTAAACAAAGCAGTGGTCATTCGCAAAATTTTGAAACGTAAAAATTAATCAACAGCATTTTGACCTGAATTCGCAAAATAAAATCGACGTAAAATTTTCCAGATTTACGGTATAAAATCACCAGTGATCCCTTTTAAGGCAACAGTATAAGAAACAAGACTTTCACATTTCAAAAGAAAAAAAAGAGACTATATAAAAGCAATGCTACACAAAATAAAGCTTTAATGAAAGTATTTTAAAATAAACTCTGGACTTTCATTTCCGATTATTTAGCAGAATACATTTCTTCCCAACTATACAGAAAAAAGTTATCAAATCTTTAAATAGCTATACACAACAATTTACCAATCCATTAATGCAAATACAATCAACAGTGTCACAATAGGAATACAAAACATGAACATACCACATAAAAATAAAAATAGTGATAAAATTTGAAAGAGCTGAGAGTGTATAATGGCACCTACCCATCTGCTGTTGTTGTGAAGCTAGGAACTGCTGCTGAGTTAACACGGCAATAGGCTGTTGTCTCTGTAATAACTGGAAATGTAAAGATCTAAATGTGACAATCCGACCAAAAAAATTATCTGGTTTTCCGAGCTACTTCTAAATCTAATTACAGTATTCTTTCAAGGTATAAATGTTACTTTCTTATTCATGTAATTAAAATTAAAGTGTAGTTCAAAATTGTGTTATTTTTGCCCTTTCACACTTGCAAACAATTTTGTCTCATTTCAATTTCGCCCAGTCACAAGAAATTATTCTGTATTCTTTGAATTCACCCCGTTTTAAATTTGCCCAAATGATGTTAGGGCGAAAGGGGCGAAAATTTCCCTGTATATAGTAAACATTACTTGGTCAAAATATATTTAACTTGCAGCTATGATCATAAATAGTTCTGTTAGAAGTAACCCTTAAGGATTATATTGTTCAAAAGTACAGTGAGATCTGAACTTGGAAAGTGATCAAATCTGTCACCAAGCTTTTTGGTCCTTAAAGGATTTTAATCATAAAACCAACCAAGTTCATTCCCACTGAACTAGAAAGAAACTCTCCAAGAGAGGTAACAATTAAATACTTATTTACTTACTTGATTGTAATCCATGTTGAAATTTGGGCTGTCCATTGAGGAAGGCATTCCCATCTGGTTACTGTAGTCAAACTGTACCGGATCAATTCCCACGGGATCAAAGGGAGGGGGGTCTAGCTGGAACCCTGGCTGTGGGAAGTGGGGCTGCTGATTGTGGTCTAGATATTCCCCACCTTCTGGCTTAACACTCAGTTTTGTCATGTCCATTCCAGGTATGGCATTCTCAGCATTGGGTGAGTTTTGGTGACTGTTTCTTCTGTTACTACAATAAATACATGTAGTTTCATGGGGGTTTAATTTCCAACAAAAATTCTAATCAAATAGCAACATATCATTCAAATTATGACCATCACTGGGGTCGGGTTAAAATAGGTTAAGGTTTCCTACTGATGCCTTTTTTTTTTAATCTTTGCATTTCTTTCTTAAAATTTCCACGTGCAAGACATGGCACTTATATAGTACTACCACGCAAAATGATATGTACCTGTAGTCTTCATCAATGCCATTCTGAAGCAAGCCATTAGCTGGTAAATTGTCTTGTTTTTCGTCTACTCTCTCCCCATCATGGCCCTCAAATGGGGAAGGGGTCTTACTCTTCTTATCTCCTTGTGGATCCATTCCTGGCTCTTGTGGTGGTCCATGCATCTGCAAAATATACACGCATATATACCATTATCAATATATTTCGCTGCTTTTTATTTATTTTCAATTTACAATTTGATGTACAATGTACATATTGTGCACCTCCTAGTGCACATTAGATTATGCTTATGTGAAAAAGCTTCTGTATCATAATTCCGTCATTGAAATGCATGATACTGTAGATTCTTTTTTCTTGAGCACTCCCTAACCAGTGTACATATAAACTGATGCTTTGGTATCAATCATCCAAATTACAGTATTACTGAAACTTGTGGAAGACATTTTTTTTTTAACTTGGAGGTCTTGCTTAGTTACACAATGATTTTACAAGCACAAATACATATGTACTAATTTAACTTTCATAATGTACTCACCTTGAACTTCCTCATCTGAAAAAAAGTCAAATATTTCATTTCAGTGTTTGATGAAAAGGCAGATACAATCAAATAAAAGAAATTATCCTAACATGATTAATATTCCAAATGTATGTGTATAAATTCACGTTTCCTTAAATTTCCTCATTTAATGCAATATTATAAATTATATGAAAAAGACACAGTTTATGATTGCAAGATGACTATGCTTGATTGTTTTCTTAAAGTATATTGCGAGTGACCTAATAGCCAATAGGGAAAATGTGTTAATGGCACAACTTTTCCTTGAAAAAGTGAAAACCCAATACTCACATTCTGCATAAATGGGCCGGGTGGCGGTCCTCCCTTTCCGCGGAGTCGGGCATCCAGCTCTTTACTGGTGGGGGATCCACCCAAGACATACTCCACCATGTCTACTCCTAATGCTCCTGGCTCTGTATACAACACAGTTACTTCTAGTCAATCTTCATCCATAATAAATACATTTTATATACAAGTGATTTTTAAATGTGAATATCTTTCAAACAGTATTCTCCAGGAATACTGAATACCAGGTTATTTTCACCCTGCATTATTTTCGCCCTTTTATCTGTTTATACATGCAAACATTTTTGCCCAGTTTAAATTCGCCCAGTTATAATTTTGTTTAAGAAATAATACCATATTTTTTTAAATTCACCCCATTTTAAATTCATCCAAGTAAGGGTAGGGCGAATGGGGCGAAAATAAAATGGGGGAGAGGGGGGGTTTCCCTGTGTACAGTATATCCTTGTATCTTTTAATATGTACAATTAGAACATTTTAAATCATTGCACTACAAAAATAATATCAACAATTTCAACCTATGGTTTTGATACTTGATCAATTGACCTAGAAAATCTCCTCAGTGTCCAATCATTCTCCAATACATAATACAACCAAAGCAATACAATGGTTACATCAATTATCTTATCCTTTGATCTAGACATCTGAACAAGAAACCTCAAAAACTTTCAATATCGAAATAAATACATGTAAAATGTTTTTCAAGCCAATAAGAAACATCTGTTTATCAGCCATTACCTGTTGGATTCCCCCAAGTATCTTCCCTGGTGGTCCACGGATTTCCTGGAAACATTCCTTTCCCTTGATCCCCTCCCTGCTTCGGCCCATCTCCAATCTCCCAGAGCTTTTTGGCAGTGTTAGGCATCTAACAGGAAAAAAATCAAAGATGTACGTAAAACTGTACAGCATAAAGATCCCTATCGTATTCCTCAAGTGGTCCACATCATTTTTTATGGTGGTTGCAACATAGTAGAAATATGCATGAACTTAAGGATTTGGGTGTGCTTTTTTTCATGTCTGAATCAGAGGACAAAATATTGTTGATAGAATTTTTCTCTCACTTATACCTGTCAGAAAAATGTGAACACAAGAATCTGAGTATCCATGAATTAACCAAATTAACATACTTCTCTACCAATAGACATCCCATGGAAATCTCTCTCTATATCCTGCACGGTTGCAATGTTTCGAGACTGAAATGAGGAAGAAATGATAAACTTTAATTCTTTAACTATGAACAAAATAGTTATATAAGAAAAGTCATTAAGAAGAAGGACACTGGGGAATATGAAGTCCATCTGCAAGCACATTTTTGAATGAATGAAAAAGGCAGCCTTAAAAATTTGAATCACTTTGCCGTTATTATCAAATGAGTAATTAAATATGAAACTCACATTTCATTTGGGAAAATATACAAGATATTCACACATGCAGTGATCATGGTGATGACTTCATGAACATATATATTCAAGAAAATTTTGTCTTTTATAATTATACACTGACGTGCTCTATGATGCTGTCGTCCCCGATAGCCCATCTCTTATTGCTGTAACTGTTCAGTTCCAAGTCAGTCTGCGGGCGCTGGAAAAAATACCCGACCGTGGCATCGTCTTGTGACCGACTTCCAGGAACACTGTTATTGTTTTGTCGACCTGCAATATCATGGGGTCCATTTGCCATCATTCGCGGTCCGTTCTGCCAAGACACGTCGTTCATTCTGAGTTCTTGGAACCACAGCTCATACTATACGTTTTCCTCCTACAAAAATATTACTAGTTTGCGTCATGACATCCTTTTGTTATCATTGTACACAGCATTTCACACTATCAGTGTCTTGCAACAGTCATAACAATGGCGGGAGACGACAGACAGGAAGCTAATCTACATATTAAACAATGAGCTAAATGAATAAATTTCTGCAAGAACTAAATTTTTGCATTTATAAATAAATTATTCATCTATGCTTTGCGTATGTAATTTTACCCAGACAATCTAGAAACAAACCGTGATGACATCAGATTTCGATGTCCCCTTTAACGTAAACATCACAACATGGCGATTGACAATGTTTTGGTTGAACAAGGAATTTTGGGTAATATGTATGCATTTGTAGTGACGTCATATGGTGGGAAAAGCGAACCATTTCAGCAAAGAAAAAAATTGATATTTAACGTTATGCCCCCGGATCGAAAGATCCCGGGGGTATATTGTTTTTTGTCCTGTCTGTCTGAATGTCTGTTTGTCTTTCTGTCAAAGCCAAATCAATGGTAAGAGAAACTTTACTAAAAATGAACTTTTCAGAAAATTTTGCGGAGCGGAAAAAAGGGTACATATGTGTATTATGCAATTTCATCTGGACTCAAGAAAATTGAACATAAAACTTTTTATGCAGAAAAATAGGATATTATCACATACCTCTGGAGTTAATTCAGTATACAAATACATTAAGCTCTCTATATATATGCACGCAAACAATTTTAGTTCAAACGAGTTTAAGTAGTTATTGACAAATAAGTTGAGGAGACAAGGATTAACAGTCAATATTTAAGAAATTATTTTGTCGATACAAAGACCTTGAACTATGAACTATTAATTAAATTTAATCTATCGTAAAACTGAACGTTGACTGGTGTTTTGCATACAAGCTATTATAGGCCACTAGTATTTTTCCCCACCGAAATGCATACTTTTTACGTTTGTCCGATAAGAAAAAGGAGCCGGCATACAATGGGTGCATATGACCACATGTGCTTGAGGACAGGAACCCCCCCCCCCCCCATATATAGACCCCCGGGCCTTTTCGATTTTTTTTCTTAACCTATCCGTAAGTAACACATTTGTGATGTAATCCATACCATCAAACCGAAATTACGAAAAACAAACAGTTTATAAAAATTCGTAACCCACTCTATATATAAAAATAACACTTGTCCTGTCCTCAAGCACCTGTGCATATGACCGGTCGAAATGGGATGCTTATCTTCCCTACATGCATGACTGTCATCAGATCCCACCTCTGATGCTTTGATTGGTTGCGTTTGCTCTACTACAAATTTGTATTATTTCATGTTATCTGAGCTAAACTGTATCTCTTACCTCAAAAGTCACAGAACCCGGGGTGGGTGTGGGGCATCTTGAAATCAAACAGAAAAAGAATTTAATGCAACCCCCGCCCTTTTAGCGTTCTACTATTTTGCTCAAAGGCGGATCCAGGGCCGGGGCGTGCCCCCCCCCCCCTTTGAATTTTTTGTATGTAAAATTTATATGTCCATTATCCTAAAATCAAGGAAAAAAATCTCTTATTTGTAAGAACATGTCAGCTTCTGAGGGCTTCGCCCTTGGACCCCCCAAAAGGACCTTGCCTAAGAGCCATTGGGGGCTTCAGTACAGCCACCTTCAGCCACGTAGCATCGTTTTTGAAAGCGGGGGGGGGGGGGGGTGGCAGCCTGAGAAAAATTTTTTTTGACTTACCTGAAAAAGTTGACAAGCAAAAAAAAAATACAAAAAATACAAACAAACAAACAAAAAAAAAAAAAAAAAAATATTTGACCAAACTCGAAAATCCTATCAGAAGTTGACAAATAGAAAAAATTTCGAAAATTTCGTTTTTTTTTATTAATTCAGTTTTAACCACCTCCTCCTCTTTAGCGTTCTGCGATTCTGCTTTCATCCTTATTTTTAAATCAGAAGTTGACAAATAGAAGAAATTTCGAAAATTTCTTCTTTTTTTTTATTAATTCAGTTTGAACAGTTGAAGTGTACGTAATAAGCCGCAAAAGCTAGGGGACATAAAACATGCATGCACATGCACATGCACATATATCTCGTTGGACAAAAATACACCATGCCCGTATACATAGTATTATTTTTGAAAAGTGGACAACGGGGGGGGGGGGGGGATTCAACATAGATTATTTCTAACCCAAAAAATTTCAAAAAATTCGAAAATCCTTTCCTATTTTCGATGAGGGGTGGGTGAAGTAACTAAAATATTTACTTTTTCCTTAATAATCCATACGAAAGAGGGATAATGTGGCTCTATATTTGAACAAACCTGCATTAATTCCTACCTTACACCGAATTTGGTTAAAACTAACCCGGTGGTTATTGAGAGTGGTTATTGCCGGGTGAGCTAAAACAATTTCTGCTAGATTTTCAAAGTCATTCCTCCACTATTTCATTCTTTAATTTTTCAAAAATTCTTTTGGAACTTAGCAGAGGGAATTTGTCTAAATACCTTCTTTTTTTTTATCGAGAACCCCCCCCCCCTTTTTTTTTAAATAAATTTACTGCAGACCTGCATTTGCTGCGGAATACCTGTCAAGTGTTTTGGTTGGACACCAGTCAGAAAAGGTATTTTTCCTTATATGTAATTTCTAACGTATGTACACATCTGCTATATCGTGTAGGATTTTATAAAAATATTTGTTAATTTAATTTACATACATTTCTTGAAGCCTTTTCTCCTGTTTTAACCACCGTAAAATGCATTTGTTAATTTGAATTTCCTCTGTTTACATATTTTCATTTGAAATAAATGAAGACTCTTTCATGAGTCAGATTGATTTTTTTTTCTTCAGTTTTGTCAACGCCAGAGACAAACAGTGAATAATTGGCTTAACTTTCACGAGTGCTAATATGTTTTACTTTTTAGCAATTCTAAAATGTTTCATAACATTAGTCTCTGTTCCATTCTATAAAGAAAGTTAGATCATATCACAACAAATGTAGAGTTTGGCAGCAATATATATGCACAAAAAAAATCTGTTATCACACATTCTCTTTTTCTAGATCAGAATGATATATATGTATAAACATTTGCTAAATATTTACTTATTTAGGAAGAAGATGCTGGTGCCAATCTTCACCCTGAAAATTAACCATCGTGTGAATCCACACATGGTAACAGTGGGTAGATATGATGGGAAACATACAGCTCTGACATGTGCCACAGCAGCAGGAAAGGTAAGTTTGATTTTACAAATTATTATTATTAGTAGAATAAGCTCCAATTAGTACTGGAGCACAGTAAATACTGTACTTTCGTATTTTCAGTAAGAGCAAAATGTGGCTCAGGTGAGCTGATTGCCCTCTAAGTAAACAGAGATATGGCTTTTGTTTTATTCATTTGTTAACTCTCTAAATGCATATTTGTCAATTTTTCAGGTGTTGATTCATAATCCCCATGTGAAATCTCAGAGAGGGGGTCGGGTGGATTCAACTTCCGACAGCGATGTCAATCTTCTCAGTATTAACCAGCAGGTTTCGTCAATCTGCGCTGGGAGACTCAATCCTAATGCTGCTAACGACATACTGGCCGTGGGGACACAAACAAACCTCCTGGCCTACGATATCGATAACAACAGTGATCTTTTCTACAAAGATGTAAGTCTTTCTTTTTACAAACTGCAGTGATCATATACTAAGTAAATGTATAGAACTGTTTATTTATATGTCATGATAATATACAAATTAATGTAGCAAGAACATAATGTTAATAGAGTATCTTAGTAATAACTTTTATTCAACTGATTTCGCTACTAATAAAAATTTATTTAAAAAAGCATAAATATCAACATTAACCAAAAAGGTCAAATGGAGCACATTCTATTTAGTACCATACTTGTATTTTGGGAATATGACATTGGTAGAATTTTTTTACTGTCATTAAAACTACTTAAATTTCACCACTGTTCATCAGCTGTTTTTTCTTTATCTTTGTAAGCATCATCAATATTGTGTTTGATTTATTACATGTATAGACACCAGATGGAGCTAATTCCCTGATTATTGGAGAACTTGGTGAGATACAGGGGCCTATGGTTATCTTAGGAGGAAACTGCTCCCTGCAAGGATATGATCTGGAGGGAAATGAAAATTTCTGGACGGTAATAAAAATTTTTTAAGAAGACAATTCATGAAAATATTCACATTCATGCTTGCTTATTCAACCTGAAATCCTGAATCCTCGATTGTTTTTTATGTAATTTCCTAGTTGAGCTTTTTTGTGCAGAATATTGTCTTGCATCTAAAAAATCATGCCCTTAGACTTTGATAAAGATCACAATGAGCAGTTTCTTTTCAAATTCTTTGATAGCAAAAACAAAATGAATCAGGTGAGAATTGTTGCCAATGAACATCTTCATTTTTTAGGTGACTGGAGATAATGTATGTTCTTTGACCTTATTGGACTTCACTGGAAATGGACAGAATGAGGTGAATACATTCAAATCAATGCCTTTTACAACTCAATGTTCTTTAAAAAGTATTTGTTGCAGTATTGAATTAGAATTTCAACAAAACTGATTTTTTTATTGCCTTCAGCTGATAGTTGGGTCAGAGGATTTTGACATTCGAGTTTTTAGGGAGGATGAAATACTGGCAGAAATGACAGAAACTGAGGTAATACATGTATATGTTAATCATTTATACTCAAGATGCACAATAGCCATACTGCATATTAAGTATTTTCTCATCCCCCAGAGCTGTGGATTTCAAACACCTTGATTTTTTTATGCTGAAGATAAATTGTGATTCATGAAGTTTATTTCTTGCAATGCCCAATGACAAAATTAGACAAAATGTTTCTCCTGATTATGTTCTTGGGTGTTAATGATTTTTCATATATTCCTTCAAGCTTAATTAGATTTGTAATTTTTATTTCAGGCCATTACCTGCCTTTGTCCTATGAATCACACTCGTTTTGGATATGCTCTGGCTAACGGAACAGTTGGTGTCTATGATCGTACATCAAGATACTGGAGAATAAAGGTTTGTTAATTAAAGTAACTGTTGGGAATCATATAATGAAATTCATAGAGTATGAAGGAAATATGTTTTGTGTTTATTTGTCATGTAAATTCCATTTAAAGAGGGAGAGGGGGTCAATGTTACATTAGAGTGGGGTCATTGCTACTTTAGTCCTCAGCTATCCATCAAGTTTTGGTTCCAGGCCCCAATTCTTTTAATAGCTTGTGAGGGGTTGAGATCTTTATATCTGCATAATTGGTTGTGGTGATAATATACTGTAGCTGAGCAGTTCATTCAAAAGAACAAGATACATGTATGTAGGACCTAGTTAAGTGGCTAATTTAGAAACTATTATCCTGAACATAGCCCCTAACTTTGAGTGCTCTGGCAGGATCAAAAGCCATGAACACTCTTGCTAGATCTATGTTTTATGTGGAGAAATATGTTTTTTGAACAGTTTTTCAGTATTTGTGCATTTTTAAGTAATATGAACTGTGTAGTTAATGAACTTTTTTAATTTGCAGTCCAAAAATCAAGCATACACCATACACAGTTTTGACCTTGACTCCGATGGTGTACCAGAATTAATCACGGGTTGGAGCAATGGAAAGGTGAGTTTGATTTACACTTAATGTACTGTGTATGTGGTATATCAAAGATTTCATACGAATTCAAGTTAAAAATAATAATAAATATTTTGTCTATCATCTGTATATATTTGATAACTTTCCACCTTTTCAAATTTTTCTTCAGAAAAAGAGATTTTTTTTTTAAATCAAGCTACCGGTATATTAAGTGTGATCAGGTCATGTAACTTTTATAAATTATGCATTTAAGGATAAATAACACAAACAAACTTTTTTTCATTATTTCTCATAGATTTAGATTTAAAGACAAGATAATGTTTATGAAGTTTGGGAGAATTTTATAAGATTTTGTCATAAATAAAAAATTGCAAAATTTTGTGAATTATATGATCAGGAAAACCTCATGTATACAGGATTTATTATTTATATCAATTCAAAATGCAAAAAATATATATCAACCCGCGCATCCATTTTTTGTTTGTGGTAAGTACCCTTAATGCAGCATTTGGATATTAGGCATCCATTTTGTGTGAGGATGAGGTATTTTACAATAATGATAGTGGATAAGGTCATCTTTGATTATCAATGTTTCCTTTTACAGATTGATGCCAGAAGTGATAGAACAGGGGAAGTCATCTTTAAAGATAATTTTACCAGTGCAGTTGCAGGCATTGTTCAGGTAACATTGCTCTTTTATATTCATCTTTATTATTATGAACATTTGTTAAAACGAAAGAGGTTTGATTTCTACTTTCATTCCATACAGCAAAAAATATGAAGGGAAGAGTGGAATTTAGAGTTTAAATTTCAGTTTGCACTGAAATCACCAGAAGAGTAGAGTTGTTGCTTATACGATTGTGTGTGTATGTTTTTTTGTTTGTTTGCTTTTATGAAATTCATTATTTTTCTTGACATTTTCAATGTAGGCTGATTACAGACTGGATGGATCCCAGCAACTGTTGTGTGTGTCCACAGATGGAGAAGGTTTCTCAACTGAACTATTGTTTTTATTAAGTAGCCAATGTCAATTTTTTTGTTCATTTGAAATATTTCTACAGCTTAATTGACTTTCTTCTAAAAAATTGTGAATTTTGTACATTTCTATCTGTTATTCTTAATCATGCATGTAGTCTGTGGTTATTTATCAAAATCAATAGCATGTTCTAAGTGAATATCTTTAAATACAGACTTCAGAGTATTTTTGTAGTCAAAGGATACAATCCAGCACCAAGAGAAATGAGAGGCAATTTAATGGACTCAAACCTGGAACAAGACACAGTCAGAGAGCTAGGAATGAGAAAACAGGTACTGTGCAATTTCAATGTCAAGGGCATTAACACAATTCCATAATGAAGTATGCAAATAAATTCTAGAAATAATCCTAATATTGAATTTATTTAAGAATTTGTTGATGGAGCTGAAAAATTACGACCAGAATGAAAAAGCAGGGGTAGTTGCAGCAGCAGCCATGCAGGGAGCTATGCAGTCTGGTGCCAAGTTCTCAGCGGAACGGCCATTCCCCGTGGGGGAGGAGTATGACAAGGAGAAAATGGGGGTCATACCAGTATGTACTTATACACATGTAGCTGTAATTAATTCATCTGAAGTTTGCTTTTTGGATATGAAAGTGTGTGTTAAATAAGATTGGATATGAGAGGGGAGATTTTTTTTTTAAGAGAAACTTGTCAAACATAGAAGCTACAGTTTTGGTTTTGATTATACAATGTTGTATGATTCTACACATTGATTTCTAGTTTTGATGTAAGTTAAAGTAGATTAGATTGCTTGTTAAATTGTTTAGAAATGAAATTCCCCTCAAAGATTTTAGAGGATTAAATGAAATATGGTTTGAATGTAGACTTAATCAATATTCTAAAGTCAGGTCTTGTTGCAAACTCTGAAAAATTCTTCTAGGATGATTCTGGGATGATTTACCCATTTTAATTTTCTTTTGAAAGGCTGCTACCCAGTTACAAACAACTTTAACTGTGAACCCTGGAGATGACACCAAACCAGTAAGTTTGGCTTTACAGCCAGTGGAATTTATATACAATACTTGGACTGTTTCAAAGTAATGTAGTCATCTTAGTTTTTGCGACAAAGATCACATTAAAGTTGAATTTTAATGAAGTTCAGAAATCTTTTGTATCCAATTGCTGTACAGAAAGTCATTTTTTGTAATACATTTGTACATGTAAATCTTACAGTATGGTTTATTTACTGTAAACCAACTTTTATTCGCAACGACTTTATTTCGCGATTTACCAGGGATAAACTAGTTTGCAGAAATTAATTTTCGCGATCAAGCCTTTTTGGATCTGTTGTTAATAGACACATACACTTTAAGTACCGGTTCTCGGCGAAAAATATTCGTGTCATCGAGTCTCTCGCGAACCTTGCGAAAATTTCTCACACGTGAATAAACGTTGGTTTACAGTAATTTACCGGTAATTCTATTTTTATTTCAGCCACTTTAAGTACCGGTTCGCGGCGAGAAATATTCGTGACAACGAGTCTGTCGCGAACCTCGCGAAAATTTCTCGCACGTGAATAAACGTGTATGGTTTACAGTAATTTACCGGTAATTCTGTTTTTATTTCAGCCACATGTGGAGCTTTTTATTGGAACAACAAACGGTATGTTAGAATTCTTTCTAAACATGTATAGCAAATTGACCAATAACATGTTTTCTTTGATTTTAGTATATGAATTAATAGTTCCAGCTATTACAGGAAAAAAAGTTGTCAGATGAAAAAATACAAAGAATTTAGAAATGACATCCATTGCTACAGTACACTTGTTTGTGTAGTGAAGTAACATCTTTAGTGTTGAAAAGTATTTACAAGTAACTGTTAATCTTTTTGAAATCATAGGAAATTGAGCCAGTAAAAAACTACATGTAGTGCAAATGGTTTCAATTTAATTGTTTGCCTTCTTTACTTTAATTACAGACACCTTGGTTCGAGCTGCTTTGATATTTGCAGAGGGAATCTTTGAAGGAGAAAGCCATGTTGTGTAAGATCAACTTTCAGTCCTTTGAATTTAAGTGGTTTTTATTAAAACGGTTGATAATCATGGATTATTCTTATAGAAATTTAGTATTTAAAATGAAAATTCTATTGGCCACAGTGCATACAAGTGTGGCAACAACTTACAAAGTACTTGATTCAGTATTGTAATATAGTTACAAAATATTTTTCTATTTTTACAGACATCCTCATCCAAATGCTTTGTCTAACTGTGTCCGTGTTCCAATCATTCCACCTAAAGATGTTCCAGTGGATTTACATATAAAAGCTTTCATCGGTTACAAATCAAGGTACCAGCTAGAAGAATTAACCAATTCATTAAAAAGCATATATGTCTTTAAAAATCACCTTTGCCACTCTAGGACTTCTTAACTTTTTGTATGATCATTTTCAGCATCCAATTCCATGTGTTTGAATTGACCAGACAACTACCAAGGTTTTCAATGTATGCTCCATGCCGAAAAGATTGCCCAGAGCCCAAGAGCAGTTGTACATTCCAAGTCAATGAAAGAATGCAAAGAGTAAGGGAAATTTGAAAGTCAAAGTTATTATATGCACTTTACCCAACTGCCATAGGATGATAAACTTAGATAAATGTATGTTGATATTTTATTGTAGGTGCTATTGTGGGTTAACCAGAGTTTCCTCTTACAAGATGACATTGATGCTGAGGGTGTTCTTAATGTTGCTTTCATGTCTCTTAGAGGATCTGGACCACTGTTTCTTAAAATGGAAGCACAGGGTTTGGTAAGATCTTTAACACTTATAGTATATCAATTTTCATTGGAGACCCATTAGAAACACAGTTTAAGTTTGGTATAAACTTGAACACATATATCTCAAATACATACCATTAATATATTGAAGAGAATAAGAAGTCCCAACCCCTTATTCTTTAAGTATTTATCCTAGGATATCTCAAGTCCTCTGATATCTCGAAGTTTTCATAGACTTCTAGATAACAAGGTTTGACTGTATATTCCTTTGAAAGCTGTTATTTTATACAGATTTGAATGTTCATTAAAAGCTACTTATAATTTACTTTGCAGATGACAATTAAGACAGAGGATATGGATTTAGCAGGAGACATCATTCAATCTCTGTGTCAGTTTTTGAACATTGATGACATGCAGGTCACAGCAGACTTTCCAGAGGAAATGGAAAAACTAAGGCAGATCCTGGTTAAAGTACGACTTTAAAAGCCAAAATAGTGAAATTCCACTCAGGGCTCTAAATGGTCAAACTATATGTTATATCTTTAATAGTTTACACATAACAGTTCACAGCCTTTATAAAATAGTTTCATTGAAATATTATTATTTACTGTTGAGGCACCTAGCTGCATACATTTTCATGAGTGTGCTGAGTAAAACCTTACTTGTCTAAATGGATACTAAAATGATGTCAGTTTAAACAGACAGTCTTGATCACATGGAACACAAAACAATGTACATGTGGTACTATTTTTAAGCATTCCTGCAAAATGTTTTTTTTTTGTATTTTTGCTAGTTCTTTACCCACATATATCAGATCTCTTCTTTATTTTTTTCAAAAGGTTGATGAATTCCATGCAGTAAGACAGAAATTGACAGCTGAAATGGCTGACCATTCCAATCTGATAAGAAGTATGGTTGTCAGAGCAGAAGATGCCAGACTTATGGGCGATATGTAAGTGTATTCTATGTCAGCTTCCACACTAGGTATTTCAAAGTATGCTTTGTCAAGGCTATGCTAAGCATATACCGGTACAAAAAACATGAATCTATAGAGTGGAAAGTACATGTATTTATACATGTATTTATAAGAGTATTTATCCCTTGTATTCCATCTAAATAGTGTAGATTTAAATGGTTATAGGGCCATTAGTACCTTGCATCATTCATGGATTTTTAAAACTTTTTAAACATCTTTGTTTTTGTTATTTTAACAGGAAGAATATGAGAAAAGGCTACATGGAGTTATACAACATGAATAGAGACTTAATCAATGGTTATAAAATTCGCTGTGGAAATCATCAGGAATTATTAGCTTGTCTGAAACAGCTGAATCAAATGATACAGAAAGCAGGCAGGCTTAGAGGTATTGCTAACTGACTCAAGATGAATACTTGAATGACGTTTTTTCGTAGTTTATTTTTCATTCATTTATTATTTCTTTTGGGGGGGGGCATACTTTGTCTATATAGGTATGAAATAAATTGTCGAATTATATGTAAAGAATTAAAATATTTACTAGAGATAAGTTGCACGTGATATACATCTTGTGAAAACAAGCTAATTCAGAGAATTCGTGTCCCCCGCAAGGGGAAAAATCAAGAAAAGACAAAACTGAATTTGTAGAATTATTAAATGTATACATGTATACTGAGGCAAATAAAATACATGTATGTCAATATGCATATACAGATTTGATTGCTTATTCTTTATTATGTGTATAGAAGATTCTTTTTATATGGAATATTTATTACACTGTAATGATGATTTTATAACCTCATAAATTTTTCAATTCACATGCTGAATACTATCATTTATTAAAAAAAAAAAAAAAAAAAAAAAATAAAAGTACATGTATTTAAAAAAAAAAAGAAAAGAAAAAAGAAAGGATCGACCGGGGCCACAATGAGGAATCAAAGCATGTGAAGTGAGAGATATAACCACTAAATCCATGGAATCGCTTTACTCCGCGTGAAGTATATGCAGAACTGAAGTCACATACATGTATATATTCATGTTTGGTATTCTCAAAATTTTACACAATCCATGGTGTTTGATTTATTTAGCCTTTATTAAACAGTTCTAATAGATGTAACAAGAACATAAAGTCCGCCGATAACCTGTTTCATACGCAATAACTCGCCTCATGCCCCTGCGCTAAAAATAGCGACATATAAATACTAATAAAACAAACGGGGCGGGGCACTTTGAGAGGGGCGAGAGAGGAATCAGGGAGTTTTGGTATAAAATATACATTGCATAAGCTCAAAATCTTCCTGAAATATCGCCCGGAAATGATAGTGTTACACACAGACAGAATGTATAAATTTTCGACCTTGAACTTTGACCTTTTGACCTCAAAATCAATAGGGGTCTTCACTAGGCCACAGGGAGTTGTTATGTAAAATTTCATTGCAATAGCTCAAATGGTTCCAGAGATATCGTGTGGAAACGAAAGGGTTTTCACAGACAGAATTTGCTTATTTATGACCTTGACCTTTACTTTTTGACCTCAAAATCAATAGGGGTCTTCTTTAGTCCATAGGGAGTTGCTATGCTAAATTTCATTGCAAAAGCTCAAAGGGTTCTCGAGATATCCTGTGGAAACCAAAGCGTTACAGATTTTTCATTTATTAAAGACGGACGGACGTCTACATAGGTATCAAATAAACCCAAATTAATATCCCCCACTTTTCAAGCGGGGGACAAAAAAAATGGGTGTTACTCTGACAAAGGGAAATAATTCTTGCAAATACAAAATTATTTTTTTAAATCTTGTTAAATGTCCAATCCGTACATTAGATGAAAATCATCTTTTTCTCTTTCAGTGGGAAAATATAAAACACAGGTGGTATCAGCATGCAGAGCAGCAATCAAGAGTAATAATGTCAGTGCTTTGTTCAAAATTATCAAGACAGGGGCATCATAGAAGTGACATGATGTTGTTCAATGGTTTGAAGCACCTTAAAACTGAATAATGGAATGGAACACCTTAAATCTCAATAAAGGACTAGAGCACCCTTAAACCTTAAAATCAACAGGAACACCTTAAAATTGATTAATGGACAGGAGCACCTTAAAACTGAATAAAGGAGATGAGCAATGCCATTCATTGTGATCCTAACACTCTATTTGTAAACCAGTCTACTTTGAACTTAAAAGTGAACTCCCCATTTCTCTCTCACTATCTGCCATGTGTATTATATTCATATGTCTATTACATTTGGTGAAGGTCTCTTACAGGATATGAAAGAAAAGTGATGAAAATATTTTCTCAAAGATTATCCTTTGTGCATGTATTTCTATTTTTAATACTACAACAGAGTTGTGGTGAAATTAAACTACATGTATATATGTTAGCACATTCTAAACAGTGAGGAATTTGTGTATGAACTAAAGAAAGAATACATACCATGAAAGTATTCAGTAACTAATGATACAAAGTTTACCAATGATATGGTGTATTTATTTAATGACTTTTCATCCATCCATTAATGATGAATTTGTACAGACATGTACATATATATATAAGTTAATATAAGAAAGTGTATAATTTGAAAATACACATAGCATAATTTGATAGCATCTATAAGGAACTGAAGTTATTTGTGTCATGAGTGGACCTTGTATCATTATCGGTTAATATAGTGCTTGATTTATGATAAAGTACATCTTATACCTACAGGTGATCTTGTCTTTACTCATCACCTATTGATGCTTGGAAGATAAGTTCACCAGTGGGTATCCAACCTTGGAAAAAGTAATAGCATTAATGGATCCAAATATTTAATATCACTAAAGTTACATAAAATAGGTGAATTTTGATTCATTAGTGATAATGTACAACTGGAAAATGTACCGTATAGATTTTTATTCTTACATGTGTGATCTGATTTTTTCATTTATTTATTGTAAGTTTCATTTTTGTTTTTACTATGTCTACTGATTTATATACATAATCCGTCCTTAATATTGTGCTCTTTTTTTTTTACTGTCAAGATAAAAAGAAAATGTTTTATATTAAATTAACACTTAAAATTCATTTATGACCCTGTTGGAACATGACACATACATTATTTTGAAATAAAGTCATATGAAAACAGTATCTTGATGAGTTTGCAGATTTTTACCAAAAAAAAAAACAAACAAAACAACAGCACTGATGAAGTCCTCTATGGTTTTATTTTTTTTAAATGGAAAATTTAGCAGCAGGTGTCATAAAACTATATTTCAGTGTTACTGGTTTATCTATTGATATCACTCAGTAATATCAGGCTCTGTAAGTGCGGGTTAACAAAATTTACAATACAATATGTCAAAATAAAATTAAAGTAAAATGTATAACATATGGCAAGCCAAATTCACAAAAATGAGTAAATCATAGTTTCACAATCGATAAACTAGGTTTATCGGTTGTAAACTATAGTTTACAAACCTTAAACTATAGTTAACAACGTTAATCTATATTTCACATCTGTAAACCATAGTTAACGCGATAATCTATGTTTCACAACCGTAAACTATACTTAACACCGAAAGCAATCATTTGTGATTGCGAAACATAGATTATCTGATAAATACAGTTTCACGATTTGTAAACTATAGTTTACAAACCGTTAACTATAGTTAACGATCTGATAAATATAGTTTCACAATTTGTGAAACTATGATTAACAACTCTTATCTATAGTTTACGATTGTAAACTATAGTTTACAAACGTGAATCTATGTTTATCAACAAAATCTATTGTAAACGTTTTATTACAGACAGATAAACTTAAATTAACATTCGTAAACTATTGTTAACAACCGTTAAATATAGTTTTACAGATGAAAACTATACTTAACGAATCGTTAACTATAGTTTACGGTTTGTAAACTATAGTTTACAGTCGATAAACCTAGTTTATCAATTGTGAAACTAGGTTTATCTCATTTTTGTGAATTTGGCGTGCCATAATAACATTTTAAAACATTAATTGACTGTGTTCTCAGGCAAAATGCATTTTTTCAACCTTGTACCAAACTGGTTCTTGGATCCAACAAAACATGTACGTCATGCTGCTTGAACACAGTCAATAATTATATTTTATAAAGCACAATGTTCATTTCAGAAACTCCAAAAAGATGTTGCACTTACAAATCCATCCAGTTTAACAAGGAGTCTTAACTTACCTACAAACAGAAAAGTTCCGTTCATTAGAGGGTTGAACATTATAAGATACATAGGCGTTGGAAGCAAATTGAAAGGGGGGGGGGCTAATTGAAAGCAAGGGGGGGGGGGGGCTAAACCAACAAAAAAGGTAACCCCCTATTCTCAATGCCTATATTATGTATATATTTGCAAAAAAGCGGGAGGGGGGCTAAGCCCCTTCTGTTCCGACGCCTATGAGATATTCCTGAAATATTTTTTGTCCATTGAAAAAAAGCCACATGTTTTTTGTCTTGCTGGTATAATTGCCAAAACAAGAGAAACCAGAGATACTGGGACAAATGAAATTGATGGACAATGAAAACATAGTGGGCTCACTATCCAACAACCCCCCCCTCCCCCCCCCCCCATAAGAGAAATGGACAAAAGAGAAAATGATTAGCTGGAAGTAGCATATACAATTACCCAGTTTCCAACCCTTGTTTATTAAAATTTTGTAGTTGGCTTTCAAAAAGTCATGAAAATATTTTTTAAGCAATTTGTGGGTACATAGGCCTTTAAAATTACATTTGTTTCCAAAACGTAACAGGGGCGTAGCAACAGGGGGGGGGGGGGGGGGGGAGGGGGGGGGGGCTGCCCACTTTTTTTCCCAAAAAGTTTACCTACCCCCTAAAAAAGAAAATTTTCTCTGGCTGCCCCCCCCCCCCTCCCCCCCACTTTCAAAAACGATGCTACGCGCCTGCGTAAAAAAATTATCTTTAATTAATCGAATGTATGTAGCTTAATAATAAAAAGCTTTGGGCAAGACCAATTTTGTTTTACAAGAAATACAACTTCGTCGTATTTATTGTATTGAAAAATGCATAAGAGCCGAGGTGTTTTAAATTTTCCCGCCATCGACATTGCCGCCATTGACTATTTTACGACAACATTTTTCTTTTGTAATATAGTAATTGAAGTTGAACGATGGGATTCGTTAAGTATCGTCATTATTTGTTTGAATTTAAGGTTCTTTGAATGCAAATTACTATGATATGTTCCCCTCGATTTTTTTTTTAATTTTTCATATAACGACACTTGAAGTGTCAAAAGAGCGGAAGTGGGATGAGTGAAAAAGTGATAACAAAACTGAAACAAACATGTGAAGAAAGAAACTACTTTGATTCATCTATTAACAACGTTGTGGAGGAAAACCACTAGTGGTAATTTCCTGGTTTTGATTCCCTATTCAACTAAGGTTATGTCACAATATTTTATACCGTTATAGGCTTAGAATGCAAATATTGTTACCAACTTTCTGACAACATTGAACTTGAAGATTTTTGCAAACACATGACGTATTATATCATACGTTGAATATGAAACACATTTTGTACAGTAATGAATATAAAAAAGGTTTAACGTAATAAATAGGTCTCTGCTTCAACATGTAAACTAAAGTCATTTTTTCTAAGTACAAATTAAGTTAACTATGGGTGGTAGTAAAACTTTAGAATAATTTAACTGTGTCTTGGGAAAGCCCTCACCACAGTTAGAATACCTCCCATAGACTCACAATGTAGCAAATAATTGCAGAATCACTCCGAAACGATTTTGAAGAATACGTAAGGATTTGCACTGAAAGTAATTTTCAAATTAATTTATATATATAAAAAAAAAAACTTTTTGAGGTTGTGTATGCCTTTAAACCTAAAGTGTTATCCAAATTAAGACGAAAATTCAACTAACTTTCTCAACATTTTATCTTGCTTCAAATTTAAACACCATATTTAATTCTGAACTTTCTGTATCGTTCGTAGTAAGTGCACTGAGTTTGAGTTATGGTCCGTGTCTATTTTGCAACATTGAATGAATTCTATCGTTAAACTGGGTCTGTAGGACTTTTGTCATTAAACAATAGAACATTCTATCTATGTGGGTGGATGAATGGGTTTTAATTAGCTTTATAATGTCCGTACAGGTGTATTTGCATAAGTTTTAACTTTTTTTTTTTTCAAAAATACCAAGTTATAGCACAAAAAACTACAAATTTATTTAGTGAGATCTATACCACTATACATACAAAAGGGGTGCAATGTCAACCTGAATTGTCACAGGGTCAATCTTGGAACTCCTGTGTGTCAGTAAAATTCCTTGCAGTTAGTAGAATAATGCCTGGAATCATTCAGCAATAATTCCTCTTTAATAAAAATATTGTCACAGTCATTTAAGAATCAATTAACAAGTGTTTTGCAAATCTGATATCCTGTCATGTTGTCCACTAAATTCGCTCAAAATTGCACCCAAGATTTAATGCGGAATGTGTTAGATCAACATTGTTTTTCTATATTAATAGATTTGACCAATCACTTTCCACCTTCTAACTTGCATGGGGTTTTCCAAAATGTTGTCTGCTCTCAGATAGGGCCTTGTTTTGAACGGTAAAAGCCACAGTATTTATTTAAATTTTAAATTTGTGTTTGTTTTTAATTTCATTACCTCTGTCCATGGACGTTAAACACAGGAAACACTTGAAATGGTCTCATAATGAATTGATGATTACAGCAAAAATGATTTTCATTCCCCATTACTTAAAAATATATTTGACACTTGATGAATTACCCTTATACTGAAGCAAAATTTTCCATTCCTGGCACTTAATTTGTTATAAGAGTGTTTTACTGTGTATACTAATATGTTTAACCAAATAATCTTAAGCATGTTAAGTGTAGTACAAAAAAGTTCAGCTATTAAAGAGGAGGACAGTTGCAAGTAGGTCCTATAATCCTTGGTCAATTTATCAAATTCCAAGGTCAAATATTGAAGTTATTGATATGTCGAAGATGCTTTGAAAACATAGTTCATTAACTTCATTTATGATTCAGAATCTTTAAGTTGAAGGTCAACATGGTCAGGGTTTGTTGTCAGGATATGAGAATTGTAATGAATTTCCCTTAGCATGAGTTTTAAAGAAGCTAAATAAAGACTGGTTGGTAGAAGACATTAAGGTTTCAAAATTTGACATAGAACTTAAAAAGGAAAATAAGAATAAAATCAAAAACAAGGAGTATGAACCTGGAAAGGTGCGTGCATCATCAGGTGTATACATTGACCATCCATGTCTGCTCACATTTTGATGCTAGGGCAGAGTACATTTGCTATGAAAAAAAGTATTGGCCATGTCATAACTGAATTGTATGAGTCACAATAATTGAACAATATGAGAAAAACAACTGATTAGCATCCTAGCCATGGGCCCATATTACTTAGTCTGTTCAATTTTAACTGCAAATAATCAATGTTTTCATACAGGTGACTGTATTTTCAGTAAATTAATTTTGTTTTATATCAATTATAAGTCGTAAATCATATTCATGGCTGCAGTCAGTTGGCTCATCTAAAATTACCTCTGGTAAATAATTTTTTTATATTGAATTATTGTTTAATTTATATACATTTTTAGATATTTGTAACAGCATAAACAACACTTATTTTTATTATCTGGTTTAATTCATGAAGAGTGAGAAAATTGAATGCCCATATCTTCCTGATCATGTTACATCATTATGAACTATGATTTATCTAGTACTAAGAGTGTGGTATTCACGATATATCCTGCTTTATTTACTGAGTTATATAAAAAAAGACAATAACACACACAGACACAAACACATGTCTCTCACTTGTATTCAAAAATAGACTACAATTGTGAAGGGTTGTATTTTAGTTTTATTTAGATATGCAATTCTCTTTCAGTAATATAGTTGTTTCTGTATTAATTATTAAATTAATTAGAAATTTCTGGCAAAGCCAAGCGAAACACCAAAGGGTGAAAGAACAGGTTTACTGGTCCTATTGTCAACTAGCCAAGGTTTCTGTCTCAAAAGAGAGTTGTGTGAACCATACTCGGACATAAAATTCTGGTGCGAAGCAGGTACTACCATAAAAAACGAGACACATTGGCTTCACAGAAACTTATCAAGAAAATTAAAACAGCCAGAGTTTTCAGATTGTCAGAATATATATATATACATCTGGCTGGGAGTTTGTGATCTAACAGTAAAGACGCATGGTGGCTATATAAACTTACGTGAGGAAAACACCGACAAGGCTGTGGAAAATATTCTTGGGGCACTTAGAGAGCTGGTAGAACTCATAAAAAGGCATAAAAGGGTCACCCCCATATTATTGGAGATCACATATTACTCAATAGCCTTATATAACAAATCTAAAGGACACCCAAATCCACACGAATTCGAAGACCAAGACAGAGTGCTCTTCTCTCAAATAAACCTTATAAACAAGGGCATTGGGGACATAAACACTGAACTTGGTGTCCCTCTACGCCATATTCCGAAACTTAACGTGGACCTTCAGAAAAGGAGAAAGGACGCAGGGAGTGACCATAGAAAATACTATAACTACAACTTACTTAAAGACGGCCTACATCCAAGCACACTGCTAGCCAAAGTTTGGCTCAAGAAGCTACAAAGTAAAGCCAGCATTTTATGCCACCAAGCTCCAGACAGCTCGGAAACAGAATAAGACAGAATAGTATCGAAAATCCAGGCAGCTGATAGGAGCTAGGGTATTGTTGGAAAGGGATTGTCCTGGCCACTCTACCCTGGTTCTGCACTCGTACAATGGACATCTATCCAGGGACCGCCATGCGCACCCCCAGGCCAAGGCGCAACAGACAGCCCCCAGTACTATATACCCCAAGTGGTGGAACGGGTAGGACAGCAAACAGATTGACTAAAGAATATCTAAACTAATGATAAATGGGAAAAGCAGAGAGCTCTTCTATAACAATTTTCATGTCAAACTCTCAAACATACTCCATTCTCAACCATCTATTCCCACAAGCTCCCTGCATTTTCTGGATGAAATATCCGGCAGTATTCTAAATCAAATCCAAAGTAAGGAAAAAACAAAACAAAACATAGCTGTGAAAACTCAAGTCAGATCCACATTGCAGGTAGATGATCCCCAGCCATCCTGCCTCTCTAATCCTCAGAGCCACCAAACTAGAAATACAGATATGGAAAGTGACTACAGTTTATCAGATGAAACAATACTTAAAACTGTAGAAGGAACTACTCATCTAACACCCAGGAACGACTATAGCCTTTCAGATGAAACAACCCTAAAGACTGTAGAAGGTACTATCCAGCAAAAATCTATGACCGACTGTACTGAAATGTTACTAAAGGAACAAATAGACAATTCCAGTCAGGCTAGCGAAACATGCCAAAAGCAACTATTTACGCAGTCAATTACGGGAAGAGGAGATAGCATGTACGTCAAAACCCCACATAGATCCTTAAACCCACCATACTACTGTGAGTCCATGAGTCCTACAAATGAAATTATTGAGATATCCAACTCCACATGCAGCTCATGGACAGTGAGCTGTCCACTCTGTGATGGGCCTGCAACAGAGGATAGCATCGAATGCACCAAATGTGAATCGTGGATACACACCTACTGCGAAAATATGACAGATGAAGAGTGTCGAATATATAACCAATTCGAAGCTGAAGTATACATGTGCTCCACATGTTTTATCCTAACACTATCAGAGGCTGACATAGCTCCCACTCAAACAGAAGCTAGCAGACTTATTAATGACCAGAAAAAAAAGGACAAAAAGAGCAAGAAAAAGAACGTAAAGCAACAAGCAGACAAGTTAACAGATAGAGAGAAGACAGAATTTGAAAAGAAGTTTATTGAAATGAGATCAGAAATAATCAGGCTGGAAAATAAGATCACTGAACAAAATGACATAATAAGGAACTTGAGAATTAAAGCTGCAGGCCAAATATCAATAGATGGTAATACCGATTACATCGAGAATGTCACTGCTAGGCTCCAGGCGCTGGAGAACGAAAACATTAAAAGAAGAATGGATATCTTGGAAATGCAAATGAGAAATCTGCAAGCCAAAGACAGTAACCCATCATGCTACTTAAATACAACTGCAGAAAATAAAGAAGGTCATTTTTTGTGCCCCGGCCGAGCCTCAACCAAGACGTCAATATGCAATTCCCAGAACCAGGAAACAAGTGTGGCAAACACGGAAAAGTCGGAACCAACTTATATGGGAATCTCTCAAGAAACAATGCACCCAGTGAAGTCATTCTCAAAGAAAGAACAGACAACATCATTACCTACAACACGGTCTCAGAATGCAGAACAGAGAAAGAGTCCAGGGATAGTCCAGGCACCACCCATTGTACCAGGGGAACACATATCAGAAACCCATGGAAACCAAGCAACACGAACTCTGAATCAAGATATTCAAATACCTCATCAAGTCAGACAAGGCGCCCCAATAAATGGCATGCTCCAGCAGCACAAGTTCCAGCACGTAAGATATCCACCTACTCTCCCCCTAAACAGGCAGCCAATATCCACGGGGACATGGGGACAGCCACCACAGAAACAAGTACTGCAAACAATACCACCACAGAGGGAAAACCAGACTCTCCCAACTCCAAATCTGTATACCAACCATATAGTGCCAATGCACTCAGCACCTTACCGCCAAATACCTTTGGGGACACCACATCGGACCCCATACAAGTTCTTAGACCAACACCTATCAACATACAAAATGGTCCACCCACATCTGACCCCACTACAGATGACAAATTACACCCTTCCAGGACAGCAACTCAAGGTGAAAACCTATTACCCAACAAACACTGTGGCACAACAAGCGGTCCATCCAATAAACAAAGGGCTTATCAGAAAGACACCCCACCTGACCACCGGGACTTGGTAATAGGAACCTTGAACGTCCAAAATGTAAAGACTAATACAGAATACTTGTGTGAGGAGCTAAAAAAGTGTGATATATTATGTGTGCAGGAACATTGGTTATATACTTTTGAAGAATCTTGGCTTAATACAGTTACAGAAGAGCACTTCTACACTAGCAAATCTGTGGACATGAATGACCCCTTACCACCAACTGAAAGAAAGAGAGGATATGGTGGAGTGGCTATATTCTGGAAGAAAAAGCTGGATAGACTTATACGAGTACTGCCAGACGGAGGAAAGCGAACGGTAGCATTAACAATAGAAGATACCCCTAAACCAATCGCCTTAATCAATGTATACATGCCATCAAGGAACAGTAAAAGTGACGACGACTATGAGGAAGTATTGGCAGAATTGGCTGAGATCATCTATAAATTCGATCAAACGCATGATATCATACTTGTAGGGGATATGAATGCCTCACTACACAGGACTGATCCAAACAAACAAGATAAGCAATTTAGGCAATTTTGTGATACACACAGCATTCAGCTGAGAAATGATTACCCAAACCAAGCGACATTTTACCATCACAATGGAAAAGACTCCGCAACGCTAGACTACATACTTGCAGTGGATAACCAAAACAGGATAAATGAAATCAAAATACGAAGTGACGATCAAGCAAATTTATCAGATCACAAACTGGTCTTTGCCAAACTTCCCATCGCCACTAACATACGTGGAGATACAATAGACTGCCAAAAGATCAACAACAGAAAACTAAAAAGAAACTGGGAAAAATGTGATATAGAAGCTTACAAATCGGAATTATCAAGGAGAATCCCACATAACAACATCAAACTAGAATCATCCTTTGATATTACAGAAGCTATAAATACACTGACTAGTAACATCATACAGGCAGAGAAGAAGGCTTTTAAAACATCTAAAAAGAAAAAATGCTACAAAACAAAAGTCAGATGGTCCGTGAATGTTGCTATGGCAAGTAAGGAATCAAAGATTGCCCACAAGCGGTGGAAAGATGCAGGAAGACCGCAAGACCATAATCATCCCCTCAATTTACTAAGGAAAAATGCTAAACGGACCTTCCGTAAAATTCAGAGGCAAGAATCGGCCCTCGAAAGGGTTAAACTATACAGCAAGATAACAGAAGCAAACATCAATAAAGACCAAAAGTTATTTTTTAAACTAGTCAACAAGCAGAGAAACAAACCAACAGATAAAACTGATCATATCATTGTGGAGGGAGAAGCGTACCATGAATATGACAACATAATTACAGGATGGCAGCTCCATTTTGAAGATTTAGCAAGACCAAAGGAAAAGGAATCCTTCGATGAGGACTATAAACAGACAATAGGCCATAATCTACTTATTATTGAAAATATATGTAAAGCCAATAAATCTCCAACCGAAAAGATATCTGAGGAAAAAATTAGAGATATTATTAAGAACCTTAAAAACAACAAAGCGCCCGATGCAACAGGCCTTACAGCAGAACACCTTAAGATGGGCATTGACCAGATATCCCCAATGCTTACTGACATTATTAATGCCATACTGCATACAGCTGAGGTACCGACAGGACTAAAAACGGGCATTCTGACACCAATTCTTAAAAAGGGAAAAGATAAGACAAAGCCGGGAAACTACAGAGGAATAACAGTGACACCTCTAATTGGGAAGGTCCTAGAAACATGCTTGAGAGACCAACTGGAACCTATTTTAGATCCATCACAAAATGCCCTTCAAAGAGGGTTCACATCCGGAACCTCCCCACTGATGGCCGGACTAATAATCTCTGAAGCCTTCTGCGACGCAAAGGACAATAAAGAACAATTAATCCTGCAGACTTTCGATGCAGAAAAGGCATTTGATGTAGTGTGGCACGAAAATTTACTATGTAAACTATATAAAGATGGCATTGAAGGCGACCTTTGGAACTTGGTGAAATCTCTACACACAGATGCACATACAATAGTGAAATGGAATGAAAATCTATCACAGGAAATAAAACTAGAACAAGGTATAAGGCAAGGAGCTAAATTATCTACCTTAATGTATAAAAGATTCAACAATGACCTCCTAAATGCACTACAGACTGTACCTGAGGGAGTAAAGATTGGAACTCTTGACATCACCGCGCCAACATGCGCGGATGACATTGCCCTATTAACAAAAAACCAAAGAGACGCGCAGATTCTGACAAATTTAGTGAATACTGCTTCAAATAAAGATAGATTTACTATAAATTCAGCAAAATGTGAAATCCTAACGTTTAATACTCATCAGAAAAAATATCAGCAAGAAATTGAAGTGAAGTTGGGGAATGAAACTATCAATCATGTATCTTCCCTAAAACACCTAGGCATTGAAAGAAATTCAACAAATACTCCTGATGTCAGTCAGCGAATAGAAACTGCCCGACGAACATTGTACGCTCTACTTGGAAGTGGAATGCATGGAAAAAATGGTCTATCTCCTGTTATAACTCTAAATATGTGGACTACATTCGTTATACCTAGATTATTACATGGAATTGAGCTCTTAAACATAAGGAAAATTGACTTAGAGAAACTCGAAAAATATCAAAGAAAGGTACTGAAACAACTTCAAAGTCTCCCTGACAGGACTGCATCAATTGCAACTCTATCCCTTATTGGAGCCAAAACGATAGAAGCCCACATTGATGCTAGAATTATCACAACATTTTTGAATATTGCTAAAGATCCTGCAACAATAGAGCACCAAATGGCAGTACGACAGTTATTGACAAAATCTGATAACAGTGCCAGTTGGTTTATTAGAGCAAAAAGTACCCTGGAAAAATACGATCTTCCAGACCCATTATACCTGTTAAAAAATATAAAAAGCAATGAAGAGGCAAAACACTGGAAACAGAAAGTAAAGAAACAAATATCTGACTACTGGCAAATCAAAAATGAAATTGAAATCTCAGAAAAAGTTTCCCTACAACATCTGAAATTACAGACCAACTCATGCAGACGACCTCATCCATTATGGCAGTCAAGTACGTTTTCACCGAAGGCATCAAATAAGGCCATTGTCAAAGCTCAACTCGTAACAAATACCTACCGCTTACAGGACAATATTAATAAATTTAACCAACACAAAGTGAAAAATGACTGCCTGTTATGTAGAGAGACCACAGAGGACAGATTACATTTTTTACTAAAATGTCCCACCTTAGATTCTATTAGACAGCCATATCTGATGAAAATATGTCATTACCTGCAAGAAAAAATTGGCACACAGGAATCAAATTCATACTTATTGGAGGACACTAGATTGCTACAGATTATTATCGACCCCTCCTACTTCACATTTTCAGAGATTCCATCCAGAAACAACAAAATTCAGATATTTATTGAGAACCTGAGCCGCAACATGATATTTGCTCTACATTGCCATAGAGCTCAAATTATTAAAAAAATTAGTACACAGTCTACAACCAACAGACCTTAATATTTTTCCTTTTTTTTTTTTTTTTTTTTTTTTTTGATAAAGAGGACTACAAAATTATTTTTAGAGTTAAAATAATTTTTTTAATTAGAAACAGTCATGGAAACGGTGTAAGGTTCTTTTTAATTGTGGCTTTTTTTTTTTTTTTTTTTTTTAAAGAACTTTTAGGGCCGAAACAATTTTACTTTAGGAGTTAAGCTACTGTATAGTATGTAAATTCTTGTTTTATTTTTAATTGGTCTTTCACCTCTAACTTTATTTTACAGCACTACATAGAATAGATTTTACTAACTGTCTTTTCCTCACTTTATCTCTTTTATTTTTTAATTTTTATGCCTTTTATGAACCAACCTTCTCGGGTGCTCCTTACACATAGGAGGGAAATCCACAACTGAACTGAACTGAACTATGCATTAATTAATTTTTGTAAAAAATATTGTAGGAGGTTGTGTGTACAGCTTACCATCAGAATGCAGTTTAATCCAACCCCGGGGCAGAATAACATTGGGTACCCCCAGCAGGTCCCACAGAATAACATAGGGTACCCCCGACAGGTCCCAGCCAGGCAGGGAGGGGGCATTCCAGCCCCCCATCAATCAAATTGTCAGAGGTAAGATATAATTAAATAAACATAGATATCAATTCTTTCCTCTCAAAGGAAGAATGGGAAAATAAGTGACAAATCAGGTGGACGTATGTATAAAACCTTAACATGTAGCTTTACCAGGAAGTATGTCGTTAGTATATAATTCTCATCTGCCAAGTGTTTTGTCAGTTCATATCTAGAATTCGCACTTAAAAATGTTATAAAACTGTGGATTTGAACATAAATTTTGTATTAGTTTTGAAAAAATAATTCTTTTTATGAGTGCTTGGATTAATTTTTCTGTATTTGCTTGAAAGGTAATTTTGTTTGAAAGTCATAGATTATGATAAGATTAAGCTGATATTATCCCAATGTCAGGACAATTAAAATGCACTGATGATATGGTTATGTAATACATACTATAATACTATGATGATATATGTTTCAGATCCAGTGGACATGGAACTGTCTTTTCCCACAATGCCTTGGCTCCACCAGGAATAGGATGGAATATCTCCGGATTCAACCAACAGCAATCACCATGGGGACAGAGAAGTGTCTCACCTTTCTCGAACCAAACCAATCCATTCAATGATAATTTTGTTCCAAATAGTACATCTGTGAGTGCATCAAGCAGCACTCAAAGCTTCAATAGCAGAAGTGCTACACAGTTGCAAAGGCATTTACCGACGGGGCTTAAAACTTCTGCCAAGGATACAGGTTTCAGTTCCCCATTAATAACTCTCTCACCTGAAAATACTCTACAGCGTAATAAGGATGGTAAAGCGGAGACTTCCACTTACAGCATGGATCTTGAGGGACTAGATTTTACCGCCCCGAGTTCAAATTTAGGTGCTCAAAAACCTCTTAGTTCTTCAACTGAGGAAATGTCATCTAGCACTCAAAAGTCAGTGTACCCAGATTATAGCCATGTGTTTAATGAAATTCGAAGGGAACAAAATGTAAATAATGTGACACAGTTAAATTCTTGTTACAATATGAACCCCCCTAAAACTTCAAATGTTAATTATTTGAATCCCACTAAAACACAAACTGTGACTTCCACTGTTAACTATGGATGGCATACGTCATATCTGTCGGGAAATGGTCAGCAAAATTCTGGGAATAAATTGGAGTTGTCATGGCAAGGGAATTCAGGGACTCAGTCCAAGAGCCGCTTTTCTAGTTATCAGCCTACGTTTAGGTCCAACTGGACTTACCAGAGTCCACGTCCAACGTACAATGCGTGGGGATATAATCCAAGCTTTATCATGCCAGCAGCATCACCAACATTGTTTCCATCTTTATCCCAAGTCTCTAGTAGCAGTGACTTTGATGATTTGCGTTCTCGTAAAGAAGAAGAAACCGAAGAGGAGGAGTCCGATATTTTTGAAAATGAAATCATACCACAGAGAGATTTTGTGGAAGAGAACCAGTCTCGTTCTAGGACTTCTAGTGATTTAATCGAATTCGAAGAGCCAGAAGAACAGGAGTACATGTCATTGGATTTATTTGATCCTCTATATTCTAGAACTCGTAGGGAGTCGATTATTTATCGGAGAAACTCTATCTCAGGGGAAAACGATGTGTTAAAAAATACTGAAGGTCACGTGGATTTTTCTGAATTGGAGCGTCCACAGACAGGACTGTATCCCGCTATTCCAGAGGAAGCCAAAGATTCGGAAACTTCTCGGGAAAGTGTTTATAGACCTGAGCGTAGTGATACGTTGTCTAGCACTGATGCTCTGGAACTATTTTTGAGATCTAGTCATGTGGAGGAACAGGTAGAAGAAACCAAGCCCGACATCCCAGAACGTCCACCTCCAGTATTGCCAAGAACAGCATCGACTCATGAGGTGATATTTGTTTTCTTTTTCTGATTATAGGTATACTTTAACTTTTTGTGACACCCATAAAGTGAGACGCTATAGGTATAAAGAAAGATCATATATTAATTAAATTTCTAATAAGTTACTACATTTACTTTATACATTACCTGCCAGGCTGGTACTATAAATTTACAGGCTATCAAGGTCAGTTGAGTAATTTTTCAAGGTCAGTTGGGTAATTTTTCAAGGGCAGTTTGGATAGTTTTTCAAGGTCAGTTGGGTAATTTTTCAAGGGCAGTTTGGGTACTTTTTCAAGGGCTCTACACATCATTGAAGATATGAAGATTTATTTCTTGTGCATAATTTGAAATGAGAAAAATGTTACTGATCAGAGGAATGATCCTGGATGAGTTTTGGAGCCCATATTCATTAGCTTAAGGTCAAGTCTCAGATAATAAATCTAAGCATTTACACAAAAAAGAATCTATAAGTGGAAAATTGACATTGGCTCCAAATCAAAGTTATTTGAAAATGCTGAAGTTCACAGAAAATTGTTCTTTACATTGGGTACATACAGTTTTTCAAACATGCACTATTTGGAGGGTTCTTTTCTGGATAATCATTTTGGGTCTGTTATGACAGATTAAGCTACCCATATTTCATAAATAAAGCCATACTTTGTTGCCATTTAAGTTTCACATCTTATTGTTTTAAATTTCTAGGGACCATATGAGAAACTTCATAAACGAGTGTTTGTTGATGAAGAGTCCGAGACATTTAGTCAGATGGTGTCCAAGTAAGTAACATTACAACAAATGCTGGGTTAACCGGTTTGAATGTTATAAGCTCTTAAGAAGTCATCAATTAATTTAGGACAAAAACATTAAAACACTAAAAATTACACAGAAATTATACAAGGAAAAAACTGGTATTACAAGTACTACAAAGAGTTGATGTTTGTTAATTGTTTGGAATAATTGATGTGCTTAAGAGTTGTTATTTGATATTGGCAATTCACACTAATACATGTAACTTGTCAAAAATAGTTCATGTCTGGTTCATAATATCTAATGCAGAAACAATGGAAGTTCATACATTTATGATTACCTATGACCAGATTCTTTGTAAACAGTTTTGCTAGAAGATTCAAATTATTTAATGCCTCTTTTCAGATTGAAGTCAAAATTTAGTTCCAAAGACCCCTCGGTCAACAGAGGTTATGTCGTAAGTGCGTTTTGTGAAATACAGCAGCCCTCCATGTCTGTCAAGATTTCCATTCATTCTGATTACTCGGTGGATCCTGTCATCTTTACATGTGATGGTAAGAAAGTTGGATATCCGAAAAATACAAGTACAGGTAAAGTTCGGTATCTCGACATCGGATATGTCGACAACCTGGGATATGTCGACGTCCGTCCGCGGTCCCGGCATTATTTACTATATAAATGATTTGCAAAAACTGTGATATGTCGACCTCGGTAATGTCGACTACCCCGCTTATCTCGATGTATATTCACAGTCCCAAGAGCAAAATTCACCTGGTATATGTCGACATTGGGGCAATTTTCTGCTCTACTTAACCTAATTGTTTGTCAGCTAGTCGCTCGTCACGCACGGACGACTCCGTGTGTCTCGACGTCGTCAGAAATTCACACCTTTCACACCCATGTTTTGACTACATACTGCACCGTAGAAATTTGTTTGTAGAGGAATCCCAAGCCCCCTCGGCATCTCTAATACGTTAATTGTTTAATGTTCAGCATGGGTTATATCATTGATAAATCTTCTCGATTCTGCGTTAATGTACAACCGTTTATTTATATCGAAATCTAACAAAACTTCAACATTTTATTAAAAAAGTAACTGAATAACAATGAACAATACACATTGAATTAAATTTAACTTAAAAATTGTAAAAATGCATTCAACAGGAATCAATCAAAACAACGACATGCACGACTATTGCATCAGCCGTTATATGGATGCATATGTAACAACATGAAGTTTGTTAAATGCGCAATTCCATTTAAATTTTGGTTTGAAAATGTAATGAAAATTAAAGATGAATGATTATGAAATAAAAAAGAAGTGAAATGAAATAATTTTAAAAATATACGCATTATATTTTTTTCGTATCTTGGAAGTCGACTTTGTACTGTTCCGGTTTGGAGTTTATAGAGCGCATTTCATATCCTGTTCTGACAGAGCTAGTGGCACGCGGATCGAATGCTGGGTGGAAAACGGTTTTTAGTCAAATGAAAAGATGTCGATAAAAAAGAAAGCATTTCATAAATAACATTTGTGAATATATAACTTCTTAGATTTTCTAATAAAGATAGAGGGGTAGCTGAAGCAGTCTAATAAAGACTTGTAGGTATACCTGTAATTACACGTCTGTGCAGTTTAGATCTGTGGTTTTACTTTGCAATGAAATTAAAGACATCGAGTCCCAACTCTGATATCTCGACACCTCGGATATCTCGACATTTTCCGACTGTCCCGTCGATGTCGAGATAACGAAGTTTACCTGTACATGTAGCTGATTGTATTCACTAGGTCAATTTTGCTAAGTAAATTAAACTAGTAATTTTAGGGGCATGGACACAGTTTCAACTTAAATTTCAAAATTTATTTCCATTTTTATATTGAACAAGGGTCTTTCTAATGATTATCAAAAATTTGAATGTCAGTTGTCGAGATACAAGACAGATTTTGAGCTCCAAACCCTTGTGATGTTAACAAAGTCCGTGTCATGCTTTTGTTTACATAGGTTAATATACTAATATATGTTCGTTCAGAGTAGATAATTTCAATAAACAAGTTAATTGTAAATACGATTTGACAGTTTTTATTGCTTTGCTGAATTTCATTTTGTTATAAATATGATATTTTCATTATGTAAACAAAAACAAGGCACGGGCATTGTTTACCTTATGAAGAACTATAAAGTCTGTATCTTCTTTATAAATCAACAAATGATGTTCAAATTTTTGCTAATCATTAGATGATGCCTTAGGTAGGAATTGTAAAAATTAAAATTGGTTTTTCAAAAAATCAGTTGAAACTGTGTCCATGCCCCTTTATCAATTTGTTCCTAACAATATCATCAGAGCCTGAGTTTTCCATTAGCAATCACATGCATTAATTGACAGACCAAATATTTCTATCAGTCATTCGGACTGATGACTTAATGCGTTCTACCAGTCCGAAGCATATTCTATCAGTCCGAATAAATTTTAAAATATACAGTGTATATTTCATGTCAGATGTAATTCAAAGAAAATGGCATTGAATATGTAAAAAATTTGTGGCTATAATTAATTCAAGCATGGCACCAGCTCACATAGGCTTGTGGCAGCAATAAAGTCACTAGCCCCAGGTAAATGTTGGAGGAAAGAAACAACTAATTATAAAAAAAGTTAATTCTTGAAAAAGAAAACTTCTCAAAGTTTCTAGAATTCTTTTTAAAATTTAAAGTTTAATACTCACAGTGACACTTGTATAATTGAATCATATATAAATAGCAGTTATGATAGAAATTCAAAATAAAAATAAATTTTAAATTATCTTTACGTTTTCTCAGTGGGCATTGCACTTCATGACCTATATGACCTATATGCTGCTTGTGTTTACCAACAGAGGAAGGGGGGAAAATTCGGATTAGGAAAAAACGATCGTTTTTGGAAGTAAATAAGTCAAGTAGAACTTGAATAAGATTATGGATATTTACGGAGAATAGGAGCTTGCTGCATTGAAAATTTTCATTTATGAAGATATTGCAATAGATTAGAGTACAATAAATTAATCAGGACAAGCCCTTACCACAATCGGTCACGGACCAGCACTGTAGCGAATTTCATCGGACATTTCGATTTTCTATCGGTTTTGCCGGTGGACCGATAGTTTTTGGAAACTCTGGTATGCTGTATATTTCATGTAAGCACAGGAAAAATAGTGAATTTCACAAATCTAAGCCAACATGTACATTGTTTTTCTATGATTAGAAGGTGAAGTCTTTTTTTATGGTCTTAACATTTAATTTCAAATTATTGATAAGATGATTGATATTTATTGGAGGTAATGGTTTTGGTGGTAAATGCAAATAATGTATCCTTGTACTTTATTTCAGTTCATTGTAATGTAGAGCATGTGATTGGTAATGTCCTGTATAATCATATACAGTCCGAGGGCTGCAGTGCGGAAGACTTTGTCCTTAAAGTTTATGATAAATCGGAGTATCTACTCAAGTAAGTTTTGGCATACTGTAAACCGGCTACTATATTTGATAACCCTTATAAAGAATTTGACAGTTTGAATTCATCCACGAGTATTCATTTTTATGACTTCAGAAACACTACAAAAAAACACAATAATATTAAAGAAATGCATGTATGAGTAAAAGTCATAAGAATGATTATTTCTTGCATGTAAATGAAATTTGACTTAAAGAATGTATTTAGGCATTGTATTCTTTCAGAGCACATATGTTAAAATTGTGAATATTTAGACAATTGTGTTAAAGAGTCTCAGTTGTCATGGTGATGTTACAGTTGTCATGGTCATGTTACCATGGTTACAAGCATCATGGTTATATTTTTTCCCCTTTCAGTGATCACCCCCTGTCAGAATATGAGTATGTCCACAATTGTCTGAAGCTTGATAAAGACATCAGATTTATCATGCTGAGAAAACAGGATATTCCTTTACCATTCCTTAGAACAGTATGTAAACAGTTTTTTGCTGATATCGATTCAAAAATTTTATTTAATAAAATTGAACAGTGAGAGTTGTGTCCTGTTTCTTGCTACAACTGGGTCAACTTATCGAGTTCCAATAATTAATTTTGCTTTTCACAAATTTAATTACACAAATAGATCAGGTTCATGCCACTAAAATGTTGAGATGGTATGAAGTATTTCATATGATAAAAACAAGACAGTAAATGCTGGTACATTTCCTTGAGAAGAAATTCATTGGACAATTATTTTTACATGATAAAGAAATGAGAAAGTAAAAACTGGTACATTTATAAGTGACAATTTGTTTTTATAGACAGATGATGATGATCAGTTTCTGGTGTTTCCTAAAGACTATGTGTCAGCTTCAGAAGGAGTGGTATCACAGTAAGTCACTACAGGCTACTGTCTTAACTTGTATAGATTTATATACAGGTTCAAAGTCATTTACAGAGCCGCCCTTCCCCTTTCCTTTTGGTTTCCAATTATAAATGTGAACTTTTCAAATGTCAGACCAGAAATTGCAAATGACAGTTCTGCAAATGTACATGCACATGTCAGTGCTCCTTTGTTTTAGTATTATGGGTATCTATTTTCAAACTGGAAGTATTGTGAAAATAGATAAGGAAGATGCAACCAGTTTGGTATTAGATTATCAGGATGTAGTGCATGTGTTAATATTCTCAAACATATGCTGTGCACATGGTACAATGACAAAACCCCAATACAAAGTGTTCCGTTGAAAAATCAACTACTTGTGTCTGGGCCAAACAAATTAAAACAATATGTGTCTACTATGTAAATCATGAAATACTGGGGGATTGCTGATCTAAATCTACATGATTTATTTTTTCAAAGTATTTTACTAAAATAAAGATGTAAAAATAAAGAAATTTTGGTGGTTTACGTTTATGTATTTAGTTTAAACAGAATTCATTTCTTTTTCTTTCTTTTTTTCTTTTATTGCAAAGATTGACCTTTGTTTTCTTTTTTGTTTAGGATACAGCTAGAGACTCTTATGAACACTTTCTATAGAGAATTAGAAAGCCTAATGGATCATATATTAAAGGTAAGGGACTTTGATTGTATTGGTGCTTGTGTGTCCCAGGAATGACTTGAGGAACCATTTATTAATACTGTATCAATTTCACAAGTGTAACTCCATCTGATGTTGATCAAGGTTCGAAAATCCCTCTTTGTACCAGTTGATTCCAAAGGAGAGTTGTTGGAACTATCACAGACATATTAGATTATAATTTAATTCTGACAGTTAGCACATTGCATATGATAAATGTTTGTACATGTATGCATAAATGGAAAGACGGCCAAAAATTTGTGAAATATACAGTTTAACAAAGAGAAAAGAATCTCAAAGGATATGAATTTAAAAGCTGTAAATAAATTTTAACTTAGGCTCTAACTATTGATCAGGACATTCAGTTGTATTGTTGTCAAATTGTACTCTGCAGTGTTCTAGACATGTTATTATCCACTGAGATATCTGAATACTGTTAAACTTACAGAACAGTATAGCCCAGATTCACACCACAGGATTAAGCCAGTCTGTGAAGGCTATCTGTACCATACTAGCTAACATTCAGACTATTGAGGTCACCAGGTGTCTGAAGAGGGCAGAGGACATATTTCAACAAATGCTAGAGGTAGGGCCTCAATTCATGTATATACGAGGGTTGTCCGTAAAGTTCGTGGACAAGCTAAGAATTAAATAAAAGTTGTGTCATCGATATTTATTATCAGCTTATTTCTAATCCTTAACTAAATATGAATTGAAAAATGTTTAAAAATTTTTATTCAATTTCAAATGTTTAATTACAATTATGGTTTCATAATTAGATTTGGAATGGAGACCTGGAGCACCGCAAAAATTTAATTAAAAAATTATTTATCACTTTATAAATTACATTTGTATTTTATAAAATTCTGCGGAAATCTGGATGACTTGTACATTATGAGGTTGACAAAAGTTATCACGTCAAACCTGCCAAATTTGAACGTTTAAAGTTGTAAAGTGGCTGAGCAATCAAAGTTAGAACATATAAAGATGGATCGGAATTGTTAAAAAAAGGACGTTTTCAGAATAGATGGAGCAGTGAGAATTGATAAAATCCTGTGCAGACATTGGATAAACACCTACAGAGACCATTACATTTTGTAAACAATTGGGAAAACATAGTGAAAGAAGCCATACATTAGTATTTAAGTGACATAAAATATTTTCCGACAGAAGGAACAGTTTACAGGATGACATGCTTGAAGGAAAACGATCATTCCAAGATTGCAGTGCTGTAAAAAATGAATTTCGTAACATGACTTTACTGTATATCCATGAATAAAATTGTTTTACGCGGACAGAGGTTGGATGATAGCAGGATATGAAACAAGCATTGTTAAATATTATTTTATGCATGAAACCTGAACATTTTGTGCACATATTTATGACTGGATAAAGCGACATAAGAATTGTATTAAGTTAAATGTGAATATGTTGAGAAAAGTTACATGTACTCGTATTATGCTTTTGACGTCAGGTAACGTCAAGAATTTTTATTTCAGTGCTCTGGGTATAAGTGTGTGTCTTTTTTTAATCTGATAAAAATATAACTATTAGTGCTTTGTTTTTGTTGAAACTTGCATGTTAATAAATGAAACATGAATTTAATGAAAATAATAGTTTCATATATTTTATCAATGTTTGTCAGTAATTATCAATGTTGTCCACGAACTTTACGGACAACCTTCGTATAAAGGCTAGAAGTAGGTCATATATTTACAAATGCTAGTAGTAATTGCTATAAGAAATATTCCTTTGTATGAATTAACCAAAAATAAAAAGTATAAATGAAAAAATGCTTACGGAGATGTGGAAATGTTCATACCTCCTAGAATAGCACTTGATATGTATAATTTTCAGCCAGGTTTTCTATGAGACTTTATGCTTTTATGATGTTGCTAATACATGTAAAATTAATTTGGTAATGCATTCTTTAAATTCAGCATTTACTTTCTTTGTACAGAATCAGAAACAACAAGGTGAAGGCTCAGCTTACAGAGGAACCCAGGCAGCCATCAGGTTAGCTTGATTTATGATAATTTGCTCATGTAGGCCAAAGTATCTCTTGTCATTTGAAGGGTTATTGGAGTATCTTGTTAGGTGCATCATACCTCCCTCCCTCTTTTGAATTCCTTATTTTTCCAACCAAAATGAACATCAGCATACCTTATTTTTGAAGAAAGAGAATATTTCATCAAATATAAATTTAAGGTCAAGATCTAGTAAATGAAAGGTGCCTACAGATTTATCAAACTTGAGAAATGAATTCCTTTATTGATGCTTTACAACTTTAGCTTGGTCAAATAAGGTGTTTCGGGGCATAAGTTGTAGGTAAACAAGATGAAAAACTGTATTTTAAACTGTCACTTTTAATGAAAAATTATGAAAACCAGTCATGAATATGGGAGTTTTTCTCATATTCGACAAAGGAAAAGTATTCAGATTGCCTACAGTCTCTCAGAAAACGGTAATTAGTATGTTCATGCCTTCTTCTTTAACCAATATCAAATTTAATATAGGTATCCGGTTTACTTTCCATATGATTTCAAATTGAATGTCATGAAAATACCCTGTTTTCTACATAATTCTGCTAAAGCCGTAAAGTACGGGAAAAAGAGAGTTGAAACTGATTATGACGTCATAATGCATCTAGCACCAAAAAAATAGTCTCAGGTTATTTACTAGATCTTGACCTTAACCTTCCTTCCTTTGCAGCATTGCTACTCACTCGTCACTGGTACAGGAGATACAGGAAATGCTAGAACAGCTGATAAAAGCTGTCAATCAGCTGGTCAAGATGTACTGCACCGCCTTCCACACTGATTTCATGCTGGGATCACCAGTCAAAAAGAGCTATAGTAAGATATTAATCCTGTCATTATGAGAGACGTTAGTTGATCATTTGTGACGACTATATTATTGTCTCCAGTAAAAATGAGCATAAAGAGATACATGTAGCAGCAGCACCTAATGCAAATGTATATTTTAATTTTAAAGGTCTGTTAAACTTGCATCAGTTTTTAAAATGAATTCAGAGCTTATGATAAAGGTACATGTACCATTTAGAATTGCACACAGGCAGGTACTCTGATACAGAACTCGACCAATTTTATTTTTTAGGTGAGAAATATGCAACAAAAGTTGAAGACGATTTTATCCTTCATATAGCCACTGCTCATAGAATACCCACAGAATGGATTCAAAGGTTGGTACTAAAAAAGAGGGATGCATTCTTCAAAAAATTAACAGGTGTAAAGATTTCACATGTTTATCGAAGTGATATCAGTGAATGAACCATTTCAAATCAAGTATGAATGGGTTTTTATTAAGGTCAGTATATTGTTTTGTCAAATTTGAGTTCTTATTAAGACACCACATTGATTTTTTTTAGGTATGATGAATACAAGGTTGTATGCTCACTTCATCATGGAAGCAGGAAAATTGGAGATGATGTTGTATCACAAACAACAACCAATCAGAAGGACCTATGTGATTTACTCAACTGGGATCAGTGGTCAGTAGCAATGCTCTTATCGCACTGTAGCTTGTACTGTAAAACTTGTTTAATTTTGTTATCACTGGGGTTCCAAAGAAAATGACTATACTTCACAACTGTTCTGATTAGAGAACACTTTAAGCATAGACAATATTGAAAGTCTATATTGTATTAGGTAAAATTTTGGAATTCACAATATCCAGATAAGACAAGTTTCACTTTATATATTTCTAAAATTCAAATAAAAAATAGAAATCAAATATATGAGTATTACTCTAAAAAAATTAAGAAATCTTCCTTACTGATATTCATAGGTCCTGTATTTTTTATTTTTCCACCATTTTAAAGCCAGTCAGATATTGTCAGAAACGGATTTTGTGTTATGTATTGTAGGTTGAGTTTTAAGGATGTTTCTGTCAGTAAGTTACCCAGAGAGACACGACTTTGTGTGACTCTGTGTGGCATGAAAGGTATGCAGAGTACACAAAACAATGAGGCTTCTAAAGTGTTGATGGCTCTAGGCGGGGTCACCATGCAGCTGTACAACCAGAAGGGGTAAGTGGGAAAGAGGACAGGTTAAACATTATGAAAATTCATTATCCCACAATGATATGTTGTTGAGTTATTTGGGAAATTTTTGCGTAATTATATCAAAAGTAGATCATGGTGTCTTAATTTTTATTGATGTCTGTATGGAAAATTACTGCAAATCGCAATTAAATTTTGTATCATATCTTGTGATAAGGTACTTGATCCAAGGCAGTCAGCTGGTTCCTCTGAAGATGAACATGCTTGCTGATCCTTTCAGTCCTTACTGTTCAGTGTTAGATAAAGACACAGTACTATTACAAGTAAGTTCTCATCATTGGACCTTCAATATTACTGCTTTTGAAATTTGTGAAATTGAATTTATCATCATGATGACGTTTAAGAAATATAGCTCACCTGAGCCATCTACTTTCATAATTTTTTTTGTAGATAAATCTGCCAGATTGGGGAGAAAATATTGTGTTTCCAGACGTTCTTCCAAAAAGTGGAAGGTACATTTAGCAGCTTGAACAAGACAATTAACTTTGAATTACATGTTTATGTAAAAGTTTATTCCGATGTCAATTTTATTTTGTAAAAGTCAGATCATTGTTCCATTTTATAGTGATAGGAAAAGTTTTGGGCAACTTTTGCCAGAAATCCAGGATATTGTTGATGGAGTACTGGAGAAAGATTGTATATCATCGTATGTATAGGTTTTATTATTTTTAAAATTTTGATTTAATATCTATTAAATACATGCATATTCAGAAGATGAATTTGCCAACAACTTGGAAGCATCTGATACCCATAAATGCTTAAAGTTCAAATATATGAAATTTTGATAGCCCATAAAGAGAAATAGTTTTGCTTGTTTTGATGTTGTCAATATACATGTATGTTCAAACCACATTAGTTTGAATTTGAGAAAAAAAAATTGAGAATTTGAGAATCGGGGTAAAATTTGCAAAGGATTTTTTTTTAGTTTTGGGACTTCAAAATCCTATCACCATACCAGATTATCCATAATTTTTGAAATATTTGTGTTGGAGATCTCAAAATTCAACTTTATTAAATCAATAGCAACATATATTGTAATTTATTCATTTACAGCTGTCAAGCAGACGAGCTGGAGATTTTGTGGAGATATAGGCATTATTTGTACGAGCATCCTCAGTTGTTGCCATGGATAATACAGGGATCTAAGGACTGGGATTATTATCAGCTGGCTGATATCAGTGGGCTGTTACGGGATTGGACTGTCCTAGATCCCATGCAGGCTCTGGAGCTTCTCCTTCCACAGTAATAAAATTTACTGAAATTTACGTACCATTTCTTGATATTTCTACCTATTTGTACTAATATGCAGCAGTTTTAGATTTTTCTCATAATTCTTCGTCCTATCTAGACCATGTTTTCTTTGAATGAAAGAAATACATGTTTTATACATTCATCCTAATGAAAGAACTTTATTTGGTAATAACCAGTATTTGCCCCCCAAATCAAACTTTGATGGAGATATATTTAATTAAGTTGTTAAACAGAGGAGTATATGCTGACTTCAAAGCACTGAATATTTTCATAAGTAATGACGCCATATGTACGTAATGACGTCATAAACATGACGTAAATTTCAGTTTTTTATGAATTTTACAGAAAAGTGTACATATTTCGTCGATATTTTGAGTAAAAGTCACAGAGCGCATGTGTGTTCAGGATCAATATTTTGATATAATGTGTAGAATGATAATATCAATGAAATACATGTATGTCAATATTGTTCCTGAACAAACTTGCGCTCTATAAATTTTAAAGCTAAAATTGTTGAAATTTTGTCCATTTTGTCCTCTTTCTGAAAAAGGATATAAAATCGGACTAGTTTGTGACGTCATAAAAACAAAAATTGTGAATACACTGCTTTGACACTAAAATATTTTCTGTTAATTTATATTTCTCATACAATTTATTGAATTCAGCATATTTCAGGAAGTTTTCAAACTTTGACTTTTTGGGGGGCAAATATATGCAATATACCGCATATAGTTCTTTCCTGATTTTCTTTTAATGTTTGGTAAGAAAGTTAAATAACTTTTTCTACACAGAGGAGGTGCATACATCTTATATGTATGGTAAAAAATGCACATGTAAATTTGATTTATCACACTTTGAAGAATATTTTAGGTTCCCTGATAGCAGAGTTCGTGAATTTGCTGTCGATTGTCTGCATAAAATCAAATCAGATGAGATTGTGGACTTCTTACCTCAGCTTATTCAGGTAACTGTGAATATCAGTGGTAGCTGTTTGTCAGTCATTTCACTATAAAAAGACTATACAGTGAAAATCATGAATATATGAAAATCCAATGGCATATTCAGTGAAATCTTTGTTTACAGGCATTGAAATATGAAAGTTACCATGCATCTCCCTTAGCTTGGCTCCTGTTAGAACGAGCAAGTTCAAGTGTAAGATTTGCTCATCAGCTGTTCTGGTGAGTAAATTTGATATTGATAGAAGGCATTTTATTCCATTTATAGTTGGAAAATGCTTTCTTTCATAATCATCCTTGATATTTGAAGGTTACTGAAAGGTACGGCGGCCCAGGACACCACATACAAGCGTAGGTACGAGCTGATGTTTGTGGCGCTGATTAACGTGGCAGGAGATCTTCTGTACCAAGAATTCCGCAAACAGGAAGTCATGGTGAAAATTCTAACCACCATGGGGGAGAAAGTCCAAGTAGCCAAGGATAAAGAGGTAAGGTATTTCTAGTGTTGTGGAAGGTCTAAACTTATAACCTTCAATGTGCACTTTACAATTAGTAGAGATACGTATTTATTTCTTGAATAGGAAAGAGGATCCATTGATGTAAGGTTTTACACTATTCATTTTGCTTGGAGCATTTTAGGCTTACATTTTTTAACATTATATGAATACTGGTATTTTAATACATTTAGTCCAAGATGGGACATGCATATCATATGGATTCAATTTAACATAACAAGAATAACACATACATGTATTTGATAAAAGTTTTGAGGATACCCATTCTGTCTTTTAAAAAATTGTTAACTTGTACTTGTAAGTTAATGAAATGTTGTATTACTTACAGAATACTCTAAAGAGAGAATCCCAGCATTTACAGGAGTTCTTTGATGAGAGAGGCAGTTGTTTGTTACCGTATGATCCAGGTCTATGTGTCACGGGAGTGGATCTAAAGGTGAGGGAGTGTCAGCAGATTAACTTATAATTGGATTGGAAATAAAGAGCAATATTTATACTTCCATAGCATTGAAAGCATTTTTGACAAATGTGGTTTGTTCATAAATAAAGATTTATAATGTCAAACAATACAGATATCAGAAGCCTATTGATTTGATTTTTTTAATGTTTTTCAGTCATGTTCCTATTTTACATCCAATGCAGTACCATTGAAGTTGGTGTTTAGAAATCCCAACATCAGAGCAGATCCAGTCTATGTCATGTTCAAAGTGAGATAATATACTGATTATCTACTCAGTATTTTCATGGAAAGATAAATTATAATTTAAATTCTAACAAAGAAACAACTTTTTTTACAGCATTAAAAAAAATCCAATAATGATACAAAGGAAATGAATTGTTTTGTAGTGTTTGTGATTACGAAAACATATTTTCTCTATGTTAGGTTGGAGATGATTTAAGACAGGACATGTTAACAATGCAGATGATCAAAATAATGGATAGACTTTGGCTGAAGGCTGGGTTGGATCTTAAAATCATTACATTTGCTTGTTTGGCCACTGGACCTAAAAAAGGTCAGAACATTTTAGCACAATCTTCAGAATATTTTTTCACATGTGATGATATTATTTTTTATGTCATGTTGTACATGCTATTTCATTTGCTTATTGAATATTTGCATGGCCTTATTTAAAAATTACATTACAGTGTTATGTTCTGGACTTGGTTTCTAAATGGGGATTCCATTGTATTTTTCTTCAGGTTTGGTAGAACTGATCACAGAGTCAGAAACTCTTAGGAAAATACAAGTACAGGCAGGAGTTACAGGTTCATTCAAGGATCGACCAATCAAAGAGTGGTTACAAGGTCATAACCCCACAGAATTAGAATATCAAAAAGTAAGTTCACTGTTTTGAGAATGTCTAAGGATAATTATAATCATGCGAAATCTGTTCTTCTTGTACTTGTAAAACATAGATGGCTTATGTCTTAGAAAGAATGGATGTGTGGAAATGATAATGCTTTCCATTTATTTCTAACATGCTTTTGGTTTCTCCTTGCAGGCTGTTGACAACTTTACCAGGTCCTGCGCTGGATATTGTGTGGCTACATATGTGTTGGGAGTGTGTGATCGTCATAATGATAACATTATGTTAAAGCAGTCTGGTCACATGTTTCACATTGACTTCAACAAATTCTTGGGAGATGCTCAAATGTTTGGCAATTTTAAAAGGTCAGTATGTCTTTTTGCATTTCATATCTTCATACAAATCACCAGAAAGTCTGGTTGATTCACACTGATTACATGATTGAACCATTTTGTATAATCTCCAAAATGGGAGTTCTGATTTTACTAGAGGTATTGTATTTGGGTTATATTATTCATTATGCCTGGGATACAGATTGACCACAGATGAGGAAAAAGGGAGTGTTTTGTACTCACTTTTAGATATTTGATGATTGGTAAAACAAAAAACATCTTGTAATGTATATTTTTTAATAATATATTCAAAGTATTACAATGGATTTGTTATGCTTCTTTTTTGTAGGGATCGTGTTCCGTTTGTTTTGACCTCTGACATGGCGTTTGTCATCAACAATGGAGAGAAACAGAGTGACAAGTTCCAGCTGTTTATTGACCTCTGTTGTCAGGGATTTAACATCCTCAGAAGGAACGCAAACCTCTTCCTCAACTTATTTGCTCTGGTAAGATTTTATGTGTATTTAAAAACTAATAAATTTTAGCACTGCAAGGCATGCTGAGGGTTGCTTATGTGAGATTTGTTGTGCTTGAAAATATTTAGACATTTTTGGGCAATTTCATTTGAAGTATTTGGACAATTAAGGTACCATGTACAAAGTATGACTATACATATATAAAAAATACGTGTTCCAACTTTCAATTGTTAACAAAAATATTACAGAAAATAAATCATTCACTCAAAACTTTAAGGCAGGCAAGTTCTTTATCAAAACTTACGTATATTTGGAAAACATTATTACTAAACTTATTGTTTTGAATACTTATATGCTATTTTTAAACAATGAGCAGTTTTGATTATAATTCTTCAAGGTATACTTCAATATTAGAGATCAAATCAATATTGGCGATGAGGTGAGATTTCTAAGTCATTCTATTTCGGTCTGTTGAAGCATTGATCTAGAGATGACTACAAAAAGTTATCTGGAAGGCATACCAGAACTAATCATTTGAAATTTAACATTAATTTTAATCTCTACTTGTTACAAAATGTTTGCAAAAATCAATGACTTTTTGACTATAGAACTTTAATACAGATAACTTTTCTTCAGTATGTTAACAATTCTCTGAATGTGGATATTAGCCCATTTAAACTAAGTTTAGAGAATCTATCCCAAACCTTTTCTGTGGATTACCACAGTTTTGGTGCAGATTTAATTCTTCAGTAGTTATGTGCATTCTCTGTCCCATATTACAATCATGCATATAGGAATTCTTACTAGGTATACCAATTATATGCTTTGGAGAGACCAGGCAAAATATTTTTAAGCAAGGTTATTCCCAAGTAATTTAGGGCCATAGTTTGGAAAAAAAAAATTACTGACAAGGGTAGTGCATCTTTAGATGTTTGATAATGCACAAGCTTTGGATGCTGCATCCACATTGTAAGTATTCATAATGAGGATAAAAATTATTGAAAAGGTCTAATCACAAATAACCCAAAGCCGTATATCATAGCAGGGAAGATGTGTCTAGATATGCATGCAATTACCTCTTAAACTTGCATCAGGCTCCGGAGCCATAAAACTTAGACTAGTTCACTTTTGATCTAAGTCTTACTTTTCCACTATATATTCCTTTTGTAAAAGTGAGACTGAGATCAAAAGTGATCTTGTCTAAGCCCAATGCTGTAATGTTGAAATTATTGACAATTAATTTATAAACTTTGTCTACCTTGAAGATGTCATTTTTTGAGGTGAGCTTTATCTTGTTTGATTTTTCTGCATTATCGAGTGAATGCATCTTTTGGGATTTGCAGACATTTTTTATGGCCTTGTACAAAAAATCATATACAGTATTTCCATACATGTTGAATCAATATCAGCAAGTAACAGATCTAAGTATGAAGTTTTAAAAAATATCTGAGTAATGTAGCACTTGAACAGATACATGTATTGATATATGTTCCTTTCCCCAAGAATATCTTTAAATATAATACAGTAAGCATCAATTAGATCTACGAAAGTACATAAAACCAACAGGTTTAATTTATTCTTGATGCAGCATAATAATTAGATGTTTAATACATTTTTAGCTCACCTCAACGAAGTTGGGGGAGCTTATGTAATACCCTCGGCGTCCCCGTCGGCGTCGGTGTCGGCGTCCCAGGTTAAGTTTTTTGGATCAGTTTTCTTTTAAAGTACTTCTGTGTCCTATATTGATTAGACATGCATGGAAGATGCTTCTAGTGTGTTTCATTGTACCAGTCAAAGTTTCAGATGCTGCAATTTCAGCAAAGGAATGACCAGGTTAAGGATTTGGAGCAGGTTAACATTTTTGGTGCAGTTTTTGGTGTTGGTGTCATTTCCAAGGAACTGTAAGTCCTATGTTGACCAAACTTGCATGGATGATACATCTAAGGATGCACACTACCAGGTTTGATTCGGATGCTGAATCTGACCTACATTTTCCGGTTGAGTGAATAGGTGAATGTTTTTAGTGCAGGTCTCATTTCCAAGTAACTATAAGTCCTAAGGATGCACACTACCAGGCTTGCTTCGGATGCTGAATCTGACCTACATTTTATGGTTGAGTGAACAGTTTAAAGTTTTTGGTGCAGGTTTCATTTCCAATTAACTATGAGCACTATAATGACCAAACTTGCATGGATGATACATCTAAGGGCGCATACTACTAGGCTTGCTTCGGATGCTGAATCTGACCTAAATTTTCCAGTTGAGAGAACAGGTGAATGTTTTTGGTGCAGGTCTCATTTCCAAGATGCTATGAACAATATAACTGACCAAACATGCAGGTTTGATACATCATAGGATGCATACTACCAGGCTTGCTTCAGATGCTGAATCTGACCTACATTTTCCAGTTGAGTGAACAGTTTAAAGTTTCAGGTGCAGTTTTCATTTCCAATATACTTTGAGCCCTATTATGACCAAACTTGAATGGATGGTATATCTATCGATGCACACTACCAGGCTTGCTTCGGATGCTGAATCTGACCTACATTTTCGAGATGAGTGAACAGGTTAAAGTTTTTGGTGCAGGTTTCATTTCCAAGTAACTATGAGCCCTATAATGAGCAAACTTGCATGGACGATACATCTTAGAATGCACACTAATGGACTTGCTTTGGATGCTGAATTAGACATACATTTTTCAGATAAAGGACCAGGTAAAAGTTATGGGTGCAGGTCTATTACCAAAAAACTGTATCAGATCAAAATTGCATAAATACATTTACATTTCATTTTGGGATGTACACTTTTTGTTGGTTAATTGTGTGACTTTGCCTTACTTGAAGACAACATTCGCTGAGGTGAGCTCTGTAATCTCTGATTACCTATGTTTTCTTATAAAAATACTGAAGAAATACATTTTCATGCATGAATTTGAAGAAAATCATATATAAGCATGGCATTTACAAGCAGTTACATGTAAATGCTTCTTACACAGTTTGAATAGTGAGGTCCAGTGGCATATTGTTCCTATCCTCTTCATTTCTTCTTGTGTAATAATTTGCTTAAATGTAATTGGGCTTTATGATGTTTATTGCATGATTCAACAATCTTCTTTATAAGCCCCAAAATCAAAACTAAGAGTGGGCACTTTGATGGTCTATCTTTTTTTTTTTTTGCTCTTTCTTTGTTAATATTTGTCTGCCTTCTCTTAGAAACTTTAACAAGTTGCTCATGTTCATGTTATGGAGGCTTTGCATATATGGGCAGTTGGAAGTATCATTGCATTAACTATTATGAGCAACAAACCAAAAATAAATGAAATACCACCCCAAATATCTCATCTTATGCATTGTAATTAAAAGTAAAAAGAAATCACTGATATATCTAGATAGATTAGTTATGTTGTAGTTTGTTCTGATATCTTTGTAGTTATCAAGGTCAGGGATTCCCGGAGTGACGGAGGGAGCAGCTCGATACATACAGAGGGCGCTGTTACCTGGCCACACAGAGGCTCAGGCAACTGCCATGTTTACAAGGTAGCAACACGTCCGAGATGTGAAATCTCGTACAATTTCAGTAAAAACAATATAAAACATTGATTTCAAAATTGTATATGAATTATGTCACATTTTTTACTAAACACATTTCGCAGATCTTGATTGGGTAGCAAATTTTATTTAGATAGTTCGATCTTTAAGGTATACTATACATGGTGCTTTCTTGAATTGCAGGATGATTGAGGACAGTTTGAAATCAGTTTTCACACAGTTTAATTTCTTTATCCACAATCTCGGTCAGATGAAGTTTTCCAGTCATCAAGAGGGTGCATTACTATCGTTTGTTCCTAAAACTTACAGGTAGGATATTTTTGTAGTAGAAACTTTTGATAGAAAAACAGAATAAATTTGAAAAAATTAGAATACTGTAACCTAATTATTGATTGCTCCAAAGGATATGTTTTGCAGGCTTATTTATTTTTCTTTCAAAATCTTGATCAAAAGTAAATAATTTGTGTAAGTAATACTCATTTCTGATGAGTTGTCTGTATGAATCTGTAAGGAATGCATCATACAAAAGTATGTACGGTACATGTACCTCATGCAAGGCATTTTTTTTTTTCAGTATAAATACAGATGGTAAAATTGAGAGTGTGGTTGTACACAGTTATCAGAAGCGTTATCAGCCTGAGAGACACTATGTAAGTCAGAGTTTTACTGCATTAACCTGTTCAGTAATTTGTGCAGTGCTGTTACCTAACTTTACAATGACGAAAAAAGATGTGTAGATACTGTATTTCAATTTCCGTTAGTTTTTCGATTCTATATGTAAACATTTATTAGTATCTTTCCTTTTTATAGATCTTTATTTTCAAAGTGGAACGTGCAAACCAGAAAGTTCCAATGTTTGTCTTTCGCCATTATTCAGAATTTCTTGAATTCCGAAACAAAATGATGGATCTGTTTCCTCTGGCTTCCTGGCCTCCACCATTAAGCAAGTGAGTTCTGTTTTTGTTGCTTTTGTTCTTTATATGGTTTGTTTTCAAAGACTTAACATGTTGACTTGCTTGAATGTGTCATAAATTGGAAGATAATTGATTTTGAAGCATATGATTGAAGAATTTTGATTTCTTCAGACACAGTGTATTATGCAATTAAAAGAAATAATGTCTGAACAGGTTCCAGATGGGGAGATCACACGTGAAGAAACTAGCTGAAGCAAGAAAGCAGGAGATGGATCGATTTGTTCATGAGTTATGGAGGAAGGCACCAGAAGTGTGTGAGGTCAGTATAGACCCCAAGTTTCGAATCTTTTATTTTCAATATTTAACATAAGTATCTTTATTGAATAGCAAAAATTCATTGTACAGTTAAGCATCAAGTGTTCCAAGACATGTACTATGATATCTAGATGGTACTGTTCCAACAATTCAAAAATTTTCTATCCTTCTTTACAGAGTGACATCGTGTACACATTCTTTCACCCTCTGTTGAGAGATGAACAGGAGGCACAGAAAGCCCGACTGAACATTCCTAAACTGAGAGGTAATCCACCAGCTGCTTTGTAAGGCATGGCAGGGCTGGACATTGATAAAGAATATGAATAAAACCATTGAACCTTAAGAATATTTGATAATACAGTCAAACCTTATTACCTCAAACTTTACTTTAACAGAGAGCCCGGTGGAACTTGTACCTAAGCGTTCACAGTTTGGGATGTTGCAGCTCTCCATTCATCATCGGAAGAATGTATTGCACATCATGATAATGCATGCCAAAGACTTAGTAAGTGTAATGTAGAATTTCAGAATATGACAATACTTTCATACATACAAGGCATAAAGCCGAAGAGTGCTATTTTGAAAAGGATGAATTGATTTTGTTTTATTGTAGCCTGCCACTTCAGAACTGCCTAGTCCCTATGTGAAAACATATCTACTGCCAGATCCTGATAAAGAGACCAAAAGGAAAACAAAGATTATCAAACATTCCACACACCCTACCTTTAATGAAGTGGTAATTATATTTCTTTCCTTAAACCTTGCGCCATAAATGAAAGGTTTTATGAAGCTTTTTATCCCCCGAGATTGAAGAGTGAGACCATGATTTATTTTGAAATCTCAACAGTGACCTTCAGTTTCAAAGGCTTCTCTGCCTTGTAATATAAACACATCATTATAAAATCTTAACAGTCTTTGAACTTTTTTTACAGATTGAGTATAAAATGAGTCTTGATGAATTGAAACAGAAAATTTTACAAGTGAGTGTCTGGGACCATGATGTGCTGAAGGAGAACAATCTCCTCGGTGCTGTTTACATAAAATTACGGGAGATGGATGTCTCGAAGGAAATACCAAAATGGTACAACCTGGAAAAAATTCAAATCACTAATTCCAGCATTGCATAGCCAGACAATGAATAAAATATGTAAGCTGTGAATTATGGTTTTACTTTCTGTATATTAAGGGCATTGGTAAGTTACATGTACAAGGGAAAAAAAAAGATAACTTTGAAACCTAAAAAATTATTAGGTTTTATGATAAACAAATTAGTGTGTTTGGCAATTGATATAAGGGTACCAGTTGTTTTACCCTTTCTTCAATATATAAATGCTGGCCTGAGGAAATTCAGTGTTATATGATTTAGATCTCAATAGTTAGGGTAGCTGATTAGATAAATGCTCAGGACATTTATATAATACTCCATATATGTACACCTGCATAAGATTCTTAAGTCAAAATTGAACTCTGTGCATAATCTTTAACAGTAGTTACCTGTACTGTAAACCAATAATTATTTGCTTTCTTTTCGTGATTTTTTAGTTTGGAATCCATCTGCAGCAAGTTATTTTCACACCAAAGCAATATTGCATAAAAGTACATACATGTAGGTGAATAATTGGTTTGCTACAAGAAATATTCTTGTGTAAATGTAGGTAACGAAACTTGTGGATATTTTTCACTCAGGAATAGAAGTTGGTTTACAGTATGTCATTTCAAATTCAGTACAATTTTTAAGTGAAATAAAACAAATATGAAGTTGCTCTAATTTTTTGGAGATTATTATTTTTTTTTAAAGTATTGTTTAATTTATACATAAAGTTCATTTTTGACTCAAGAAAATAAGCCAAAAGAAAAATTCCACCAAAATCCAGGAATCTTGCCAGTGTCCTTCATAAACTTAGAAAAAAAGAAATGATTTTATTTTATTAGCTAAGTCATTGATTTGATGGGTCTTCTTCATTAACTTGTAGTATGACTTTAGATAAACATGTTAATGTTGTGATCAAAATGGCTTCTTCCATAAGTGCTTCCTTGGGTGAACATTTTGCTCAAATCAACTGTTCAGCCACTAGTTTTTTTTAACACTTTAAGTCCACGGGTACATTAAAATTATTGTGTTGTGTTTCAAAGAACATGTATCGTATGTAGTATTTAATGTATGTATACATTTTTCTTAAATGTTTTATTTTTGATTGTGATTTAGTCTGGAATTGAATTCTATCAAAAATAATTTGGAATGGTTTCGTGTGAAAATAAAGATGTTCAAAAAAGAGCCATTTAATTTGTTTACATTCCTTTAAAATTCACGAGAAATGCCAGATATACATCAAGATGCATTTTGACTTAGAAGACATTAAAATTTAAATACATGGCAATGGTTTCCGTGTTAATCATATTTTTTTTTGGTAAATTAGAAATCACATCTTTACACATGTAAATAATTTAAAGACAAAGATTCAAAAGTAGTTTTATCTATATCTTGTATTTTTAAAGTATTAAATTTACAATATACTGTATTCATAACAAGTTTTCTGCATGAATATTGTTATACATAATTTGTGATATGGTAATTATTTATATACATGTATGTAAATGTTAATGAATGAAAGTAGTGAATAGCTAGAATATTTTGTTCATTTCATCGTGATTTTTTGTTCATTTCATTGTGATTTGTTGGTCAATTTTTTTTTCAAATGTTTTAGAAATGAAATTGTTGTTTGCACAATGCTTCATTTTTTGTTGATCATATACTGGTAACTTGTCTGTCTTTTTGTCTATTTACTATCTGTTAACAACAAGTTTCTAAATGCAATATTTTTAGAAGCACTATAGACAAAGATGTTTTAATGCTATTTTGTATAGGAAGACATGCTGTACATGTATATGACAATTTTGAATACTATCTCGGACTAAAAAAAGGGAACCTGCTGAAATTGGTGAATATTCACTAAAGAATGTTTTGTTTGTGTGGAGTCCAAAACAGTAGTGCTGTACTGAACGATTTTTCAGGGACTTTTTCCTTTTTTCGATGTGTGTCTAAATTTTGTACATAAATTTAGCATTTCTCTTGTAAAATATTTAAATGTCATGCTTGCTTTTTAACAAGCATTTGTACATGTTTATTTATTCATTTTGTTTAGCATTTTGGCTGTTGTACATTACTCTTTATTTTCTTGAGATGTGATTATTAAGTTTTTATCTAGTCTTAAATCTATATTTCTGTGCTCTGATTTCAGTAATTTAATTATTTATGTGGTAGGGGAGGGCTACAAAACAATAGTGCTGATATTAATAAGGAATTGTCAGATTCAACACTTGTGTGATAATGTAAAAATCATTATCACACAAGCCAATCCATTGATTATCTTCTTATATTTACATGCTTTGATTCCGCCAATCCACGGGCTCCAAGCCTGCTTCTCTGTAGGTGTTGACCCGCCTTCCACGTGTTTTTTTTTTTTGGAACCGCGCCAAAACATTCATGAGGAAATCAATAACATTTACAATTGGTAATTTTATCTCGGACAAAGACATTGGAAATGTAAATATTGTCATATCAACACAATGTAAAAACCATTATTAATGCATACAGATTATTATCTTTTTTTAAAACAGAATTTGTCAAGATAATATAATACTGCTTTTAGCTGCAGAGGTCAGCTACTTTAATTAAAAAAAAAAACTCAAAATTAATTTTCACTAATTCAATTATCCATGATTGTCTTTTTCACAAAATTGGGCTTACCTAGTGCAATAGATATTGGTGATATTGTAATAATGCAGATATTCGCCATAAATTAACTTTCTGTGTTTTTTTAAGGAAGTTCTTAATCATCGCAATCTCTACATATTAATAGAATCTGCTTCTGAATTATTCTTTACTGCTTTGAAGGAATGAAATCTATAAAGAAGAGTGCTCACAGTTTGTCAAAGATCATATAGCAGTGTATTTGTCTATCTGCAGTAACAAATGTCTTTCAAAACTTAGTACTATTTGTATATTTTTTATTTACATGTAGCTGAGAGGAATTCAGTTTAAGAGAAGGGATGGATAAATGGCACTCGGACTTATATATATATGTAAGTGACAGTGTTTCACAAATGCATTGCAATATGGTTTTTGGTTATTAATTGTGCATTTATTTGTAATCAATGCTTTTAATGAAATTTTCTCTTATTTGACTTTGCAGTCGATATACTCATATACAAATCTGTAGTACATGTATTGTTTAATTTTATTTAATAATTTCTTTGAGATTCATGTGCTGTATATTGACACAAACCTTGGTGATTGTGATATAGTTAAGATTGATGGTGCTTCAAAAGTAGATTAATGATTGTTTCATTTTCATGCTGTTATTTTCTGCTTTACTTTGTTATCTGTTGTATTTTTTATGAATTCATTGTGCAATTTAACCCTTCCCAACATGTAAATTGGTGAATAAAACCAATAATTAATGTCATGTAATTTATCCATGATTTTAAGTTTTTAACACAATGTATTTAATTTGAAAATAAATTGAACTCATACATTGTATATTTAATAAACTATTTCAAAAATGTGCTTCTTTTTGGACTGTGTGTATTAGCACTTAATGTAGTTGATATTGGAATTGAATTATTAAGAGCAGAGTCAGGGATTTTCTAAGGAAAATCCATTTCCAATGAGAAAGCATTTCTCATGTTAAAAAAATCTTACAAGTAAATTTTTAAAAAAAGGGGGGGGGATTGAAAAACTGGAAAAAAAGGGATTAAGCCTTTATCTAGTTCACCTGAGGCTTCAGTGAGCAGTTTTAAATAAAATGGCCTGGTGTCTATCTAGCATTTTTCACCATAATTTTCATATTTGTGACTTCTCCAGAAAACTTTGGCATTGTTAACTAAACTTTTCAAAAAGCATCCTTTGATGAAGGGAATGGAGTTCATTTGAATGAAGAGTTATATTCTCTTTTTTTGGGGGGGGGGGGGGGGAGATCCATGTAAAATTATAAAATAATTAAAATTTTGTGGTCTACACTCTACACCTTACCTAAGGTTATTTTCACAAGTTCAAAGTCACCAACAAAAATATATAACCTTTTCTGGCATATAGCTGAAGCTCATTCTTGGTAAAAAGACTGCTTGAGTCCTTTGGGTTTGTTGTAACTTGTAACTTTAAGGGGGCTGGTGGGCTGTGGCCATTTTTAGACAGCACTGATCCTCTCTAGAAGAAGAGCTCCA